AGAATACTATACTAACTAGACAGTGATTCCTTATATTTTCATTTCATTGTGAAATAAAATTGTAGATTTAGACTTTAAAAATGTAGACATATATAGATATAAATTACATGAGGACTCCCATGCCAACTTCAATAGTCCTCGCCCACTAACATCAAACACAAATGCAGCCGCACGAGATTTACATGCATATTTGGCCTCCTTAGCATCAGACACAGAGACAGATGCGCTCGAGAATTGCATGCATATTAGGTCTCCTTAGCTCCTGACCTATCAACCTGCCTAATTTACATTCCAGTAGAATTATCAAGAAGCTTCCACATAAGTATTTTTCTGGCCCAAGGGTTCTTGTGAAGATTTTTCTTGTATGTTTCATTGTAAAACTTAGATTACCTATTGTAGCCCAACCTTTCTCCAGGGCCATGATTTCAACAATAGTAATTTACATTAGCTAGGCTGCTTCGATCCATACAAGTTTAAACTTTTCTAACCCTGTGGTCCTTGAGAAGAAGATTCTTAAAGATTTTTCCTATAATATAGGTATATATTATATGTATCCTGCATATATTTTAATGTAAAAACTGGATTCTCTATTGTGACCCTACCCATGATTTGAAAAAAGTTAGAATTTTCACTATTCAAGGATGCTTCCACATATTAAGTTTCAGTTTTTCTGGGCCAGTGGTTCATGTATGGGAAGATTTAGGTCACTTGTACCAGGGGAAGTACATGGACAAAAATTCGCTTGCCTTACCCGAATGTTTGCTTGTCTTACCATAAACTAATACTGTACAGTACATGTATTTATAATACTAGTAATATTTCAAAAAAAAAAAAAAAGAAGACAAATACTAAGTAGATCATGCAAGCCCCCTATGCCCAGCTTTAAATCTAGTATGGTTTACATATTGATTTTATTTTTGATAAATTCAGTTGCCCATGGGCAAGTGGTTGGTAAAAATTCATTTGTCCACCCCTAAAATTCACTAGTCCCTGGCGTCAGGCAATGGGATTATTCATTCCCTAATTTTTAATGACCCCACTCCATTTTGGTCTTTTCTTGATTAAATGTTCTAGAATGATCACAATCAATCTTATCACTATTGTTGACAATGTGCTTTTCTTCCTTTATGGAAAGATACTAGATTTTTTGATGGACACTAAACAAGACAAAAAAATTAAAATGGCCCTTATTTACTTTCTGCCACTTAATAAGGATAATATTCAATATAAATAATCAGTTGTCTTTGGTGTTAATCCAAGTGTGGCAGTCAGACAGATCTGATTGCCTGTGACCAGATAGTTCAGTTGGTGGAGTACCTGACTGGAGATTCAGGTTGCCTGGGTTCAAATCCCAATCTAGCTTGTCCATTTATACATTTTTCCCCTTTCCCATTGCATTTGATACCGTGACCAGGCAATGACAGGTGAAAGTTTAGCCTGGGGCAATTAAGAACTTGGGGTTGTGTCTTCGAGGGCCAAGAAAATTTAAGGAGGGAGGTACTCAGGTAGTTTGGGCCGTGGGTATTGGCCTGGGTACTCAGTACAGCACCTAGCTAATGATGTAGGGGGTCGCATGTTTGACTCCTGGTCCAGCTTTACATATTCTTCTTTCCCATTACATTCGGTGCTGTGACATATGCCCTGGAAGTGACAAGAGAAAGACCTCCAGGGAAGAGCCATGTTGATGTCTATGGGACCGAAGAACTTTAACGAAGGAAAAATGTGGTGGTCAGGAGGTTCAATTGCCTGTGACCAGAGAGTTCAGTTGGAAGAGCACCTGACTGGAGATCTAGGGGCCCCAGGTAAGAATCCTTATCTAATCTGTCACATTTTTCTCCTCTCCTATTGCACAGGGAATAACACTAGCCTTGCAATTCAATCAACATTGAGAAAAAATCTAAATAACTTATGCAGGTTTTGTATTGTTTCTGGAATGTTGTAACCAATATCTAAGCAAAGAAAGCATCTTAATGTTTATCCTTTGTTTTGATTCACATAATTAATTAACATATTATAGGGGAGAGGATAATTTATTCTTACATATATTGATACTGTACATGTGAATACACATGCAGCTGTCAACATTAATGAAGAACTGTCTTAGTAAATGCAATGAGTTGACCTAAGAAAGCTTTTATAAACGCCCGAGGTTCTAATTCTGTTGACCAACCATTGACCAACTAAGCGAACGAAACATGCTCATCATGCTGCATATTGCATCACGTCTAGGTTTTGGAACACTCAACAGCTGTTAGCAAATTCTCTTGAAAATTCTTATAAAGCTGAAGAAAAGGAACTTTGCCAATAACATAAAGTCTCATTTATATATCCACAATTCGACAGATATAATAGAAAAACAGAGATTTATGTGGAAAGACTTAGAGTCGTCCATATCCTTGTAAACAGATCCTTCATGAAGGAAATTCGAACTAAGACGAAACTGCTATATAAACACTTCATGTGCTATATATTTTTTTGAAGTGAATATTTCATAAAAATTTTACATTTATATATATGTTTCTTCCATATAAAGCATTGCATTACCTTTATTTGCGTCATCTTTGTATTCTTTATCGTCCTCGTTCTTTCGACGTCCGTTTATCAAAGGGGGACAACTCCATTTAAGTTTTTGGAATAAAGGGGGGAGGGGTAAAAATATGAGGTATGGTAATCATTTGCTTGTCCGCTTTGATTTTTTAATGGTGCTAGGCCTATGAATTTCTTTTACTATGAAGCTTCAGTTTGAGCGAATCAATAAAATTGCATGTCCATGGGCCATGAAGCTCACCAACGGGTGAATGATTCCGTTTTCCCCCACATATTTCAACGCAAAATGCCTTTTTGGACTAATTTTGATTTGATAAATTTTAAATATATCAATGTTATCTTTATCTCATTTTGTATAAATGTGAACATTATACACATACTTACGTGCTGCTGCAAGAGCAATTTCCTTTGGAAATAGTGCCTAAAATCTTTGCTGTTCTTGAGGAACAATGAACTTGCTATTTCTGAATCATACAAAAAAGGTGTTTTTTTAATAGACCTAATAGATCTAGTAATTTTTTATACAGAAAAATTCAGATGTTTCATAAATAGAGGTTATTCGGTATTTTGTGGTTGGATATAAAATTCATATATAAATAACTACACATCCAGGAGGGGAATATTTATGCCATGTAATTAAAGATTTGCGGAATACCATATAAGTGGAAATTTTAGCAAGATGCAAATTTAGCGATTTGTCCCCAGAAATTGGTATTTTATTTTTAGCGAGATGTAATTTTAGCGATTTCAAAAAGCTCACTAAAAAGCAATTACAAGCTAGAACTGTCCAAACGGGACAAAATACCCCCCGCTGTTTTTTTTCAGAAGTAAGTTTTTCCATAATAAAGATATGTATAACACATGAATTATGAAATTTTTCTTCCAGTGACCTTGAAATTTCCCAAATGATCTTGGGTCAAGATCATGACATACCCTTGGGTCATGGGCAATCTTTGTGTGAAATGAGAACCTACCAAGTTTATCAATAAGAAAGATATGGACCGGACATGAATTATGAACTTTTTCTTCCAGTGACATTGAACTTCCCCAAAACCTTGGGTCAAGGTCATGCCAAACCCTTGGGTCATGGGCAATCCTTTTGTAGAATGAGAACCTACCAAGTTTATCCATAAAAAAGATGTAGACCAGACACGAATTGTAAACTTTTTCTTCCAGTGACCTTGAACTTCCCCAAATGAACTTGGGTCAAGGTAATGACACACCCTTGGGTCAAGGGCAATATTTGTGTGAATTGAGAACCTACCAAATTTATCCATAAGAAAGATATGGACCAGACATGAATTATGAACTTTTTCTTCCAGTGACCTTGAACATCCCTAAATGACCTTGGGTCATGGTCAGGACACACCCTTAGGTCATGGGCAATCTTTGCGTGAAATGAGAACCTACCAAGTTCATCCATAAGAAAGATATGGACCGGACACAAATTATGAACTTTTTCTTCCAGTGACCTTGAACTTCTTCGAGTGACCTCGGGTCAAGGTCATGACACACCCTTGGGTCATGGGCAATCTTTGCATGAAATGAGAACCTACCAAATTTATCCATAAAAAAGATGTAGACCAGACACGAATTATGAAATTTTTATTCCAGTGACCTTGAACTTCCCCAAATGACCTTGGGTCAAGGTCATGACACACCCTTGGGTCATGGGCAATCTTTGTGTGAAATGAGAACCTACCAATTTTTTCCATAAGAAAGATATGGACCGGACACGAATTATGAACTTTTTCTTCCAGTGACCTTGAACTTCCCCAAATGACCTTGGGTCAAAATAATGACACACCCATAGGTCATGGGCAATCTTTGTGTAGAGTAGTAGATTCTAATGTCCCTCTGTAAGAAAGATATGGACCGGACACGTTTGCACAGACAGACGGACAAACAGACAGAGGGACAAGGTGATTCCTATATACCCCCCAAACTTCGTTTGCGGGGGGTATAATAAAGCGCACTAAATTTTTAGAGATATTCAATTTTAGCGATCTTAACACCCTCACTAAAAATGCCCAAATTAAATCCTCGCTAAAAATTCTGCTTATACCGTGCACTAAATTTTTAGATTTTTACTTTGTATGTCCATTTGTCTTTCTTTGTATGTCCAAAAACTTTAACCTTGCCCAAGGTCAAGAGATAAAAGACGTTGGCATTCAAAGAAAGGTCTTGTCACAAGGAATATACACAAGAAATATGACAGCCATAAAAGCTCCTGCCAATCAAGTTATGGGCAAGGTTAATTTCTTTTGGACAGACAGATGGATGAACAGGGCAAAAACTATGTTTCCAATTCTTCCATTATTGAGGCATACAAAGTGTCATAAAATCTGGATTTTCTATTCTATTTCTAGTCATTTCAAGCCTTGTTGAATAAAACTAATAGGAAATTGAGAATGAAAATTTTAAAAATGCTCCTCTTCAGTCATCAAAACACATTAAAAGTGAGAATCTTTATTCCATAAAAACTATACAATATACAAATCAAAATACAGTGATTGTTGAAAACAAATTTAAAAAAAAATTAAAATATCACTAAAGAAAGTGTTCCATTACAAGACACAAGTCAATTTAATTCTAAAACTAAGACTACCACTAATTATCCAGATTTTGGAAAATCCCTATGTTTGAAACCTTCTGTCAGATGGCTGTAAGACTTGAAATTGGTTATCTGGATCTCATAAAATGTAGATCACAGTCTTTTTTTCCCCCTGTAGTCCCTATACAGCTCGACCAGTTTGGATTTTCTCATTTCACAGAGGAACATCAGGATTGCTTGGTCAGTCCAAATGCTGTAAGACTGAATTTCCCATCAATCATTCTAAAATAAAGAATGTTTTCTTTGAATTTTTGCTTTTTCCATCACAGAAATCTGTCATTTTCTCAATATAAAAATACAGTTGAACTAGATATCTAAAATACCATGGAGATGTCAAAGTTAGGTGGAAGCACAGGCACTTGATTCTGAAATAATTTTTTTAACCCATAGTAAACTAAAAATACAAGATATCCAACTTTGAATTACATGGAGTACCCCCTCCCCAGAATCGCACTTAATTTCCCTTTCAGGAAAAAAAAAATGCACGGCAAACTGTTGAAAATAATTTAAAGATTTTTTTCAAGCAGATTTTGTATCAGGTGACATCTGATCCCACATTTTAGCCTCCACCTATCCCAAGGGACACTGTTTTGAATAAAAAGACTTGTATCCACACAACTTGAGAATTTGTTTGGACCTTGTAAGTCTTGCTTATATTAAATTCCTCTTGTGGCCCCATCTAAAGTCCTAGGCTAGGGGCCATAATTTGTACAAATTTGAATCTACACTGTGTGAAAAATTAACAGAGGACATACTACACTACTTTCAATCGGAAAAGATTTTTCGGCCTTTGCTTCAGGTGAGCTAAAACTTGCGCTAAAATACATGTAGTTCAAATGTAATTATTACAATGTACAAGAAAAGAAACTTGAGTGCCTTTATACCCACCTTGGGCTGTGTGCTGTCTGTGGTTAATGACTCTGGTTTATCAGCTGGGGGTGATTCTTGTTCTTTATCTTCAGGGGAGGTAATTTCTGGTTCTTCAGATGCTGCCTCCTCATTGTCGGACTCAGCTTCCTTGTCTGAGTTTTCTTCTCCTTCTTCTTTGGGCTTCTCTTCATCTGTTCCTAGCATAGTCTGTAAAAAATTATGTCTTTTAGTGTTGACAAGCCAGTATTTTATATTTCACTGTACAAGGTGCCTCCATTTCAAAATCTGTTATTAAATTTAACTTCTTGCATAAAAGTATGTTTTGTAGAAATATTTCAAAGTACAATAAAGTTTTGTAAAAGATAAAAGTTTATTTTTTATTCAATTGCTTATTGACATCTGATCCCTCATTTTAGCCTCCAACTATCCCTAGGGAGTCCAAAGAACTCTTACTATAAAGTATAAATGTTTTTTCCTGATATCTTCAATTTACACACATGTAAATTTTTGTGACCATATTTAAAACTACATGTATTAAAATTGTTTTTTTCTGATGTACACATGCACTTCTGATTTATCTGAAATCTCAAAAAAAAAGTAATAACCTATAAACTTTTTAGAGAATATTTAATACATGTACATTTATATTAATTTATTGTTGTTTTTTTTTTTCTACTTAAACCATGAAAAACTAGTGCTAATTGTAACGGGTAAACTTACAGATGTTCCCAAACGCTCCCCAACTCCCTTTTGGTGCCATATTCCCTGTAAGCTTCATTAAATAAGACAAACTCGATGCATTTAAGACTTTAATAACGTTTACACAGAAGTGTACAAAGTTCATTCAAATTTTGCGTGCGCATGTGAATGCATGTGCGTAATGACCATATCATCTTGTCTACACAATCTATATATTTTTAAATACTAAATATTAAAGCATTTAAACCAAAAGTATTAAAAAGATACACTCGTTGAAGTGTTTTTTGATTTTGCTCATTTCAGGTGCACGCACGTGCATACATGAGCATGGTGACCATATCTTCTTGTAGATGTCCGTTACATCTATCTATGTTCTAAATCCCACCCCGTTTGGTTGAAAACCAAGGGAGTTATAGCTGTTTAAAGTTTCAGCCAATCAGATTGCAGCGCACGTACATGCACGTGTATGCATGTGCATGGTGACCATATTTTCTTGTAGTAGTCCAGTATATCTACATGTATCTATGTTCCAAATTCCATCCTGTTTGGTTGAAAATCAAGGGAGGTATAGCTATTTAAAGTTTTAGCCATTCAGATTGCAGCGCACGTGCATGCACGTGTTTCATGATAATTGTTATATATCTTGTTGTAGGATATACTTATGCATGGCTATTTTCAAAATTTCAAAGGATTTCGTCAAAAAATAAGAAAGATATTGAGACTTTAGTTTCAGCCAATCAGAGCAAAGCGCACGTGCATGCGTGTGAGATCTTGCTATTTTGACCATGTCATATTGTCTATGCTTCTAATATATCCTTATATTATAAGTTTCAAAGCATTTCATCAAAAATTTAAAAAGTTACGCCTATATCAATTAAATCAGTCATTTCACATGTTGCACGTGCACGCTCTTGCAAGCAAGTGCGCGCAAAATGACCTTCGTTCCGCAAATCTACATAACATGTCTACTGACCCTAAAAACATTTCACCTTAGTCGGATGTATAGTTTACGAGATCATTCCCGGACAAAAAAGTACCCAGGAAGAAGAAGAAGAAGAAGAAAAATAATAATAATAAGAAACAGAGTAAAAACAATATGTTCCCCAACTTCGTTTGGGGAACATAATAAGAGGGATTGATACACCTTAAAAATGCATTTTTGTTTTGTCATATATACCGTATAAGTAGAAATTTTAGCAAGGATTTAATTTTGGCATTATTAGCGGGGCTGTTGAGATCGCTAAAATTGAATATCGCTAAAAATAAAAATTGCGTGTTAGGCCAAAAAAAATTAATCAATAGTTTCTCAGGCCAAAAAATTCAAAATTCGATGCGGCAGGCAGGCTTTTTTTTTTTTTTTTTTTTTTTTTTGGCAGCAGGTTTTACACCTTCTTTAAGCCATTTGTTCAATAAAATGAAAATCTCTACCAACTCTTAATTTTTGTTCTCTGAAATTAGTTATAATATGTATTCAACTTTAAATAATGTTATTCCAAACATTTATTTAAAAGTTAATTCATAAAATATTGTAAATTTAGAAGAATACAGTGAAACCTGTCTAATCCGACATGCACTGGGATACAAATTTTGTGTCGGAATAGACAGGGTGTCGGATTGCACAGTGTAAAAAACAAGGAAAATACTAAAATGGGAACGAAATTTAACGGCGTAATTCACAGTGTGTCGGATTATTCAGGTGTCGGATTAAACAGTTTTCACTGTATATCGTTTTTCTAATAAAAACGTCTATCTTAGCATTCATGAAAAGGGGAATTACTCAATTTTCTTTTCCAACTTAGAAAAATAGAAAATTGAGTTATTTCCCTTTTCAATATGTCAATAAAATTGATCAATGCGGCAGTTCTTGAACTGATGCGGCGGTGCCTGAGAATCTATTGAGTAATTTTTTTTGGCCTTATCTGTACTAGCTTCTTTAGAGAGCATTTTAAAATCGCTAAAATTACTTCTCGATAAAAATAAAATACCAGTTTTTAAAGAGAAATTGCTAAATTTGCATCTCGCTAAGATTTCCACTTATACGGTATTTTGAAACCACAAAAATTGAGCATAATACAATGCTGTAAATATATCTACTGTATATATGTATAAACATTTCTGCAAAAGCCTTAAATCCTATTTTCAATCAATACCTGGATGACATCAGCAAAGTAATCAGCTTTTTCAGCCATCTCTGTTAATTTAGAATTTTCCTCTCGCAGATCCTCAACTTCTTTGTGCAACTGGAAATTAAGATTTAGATTTACATATATTTATTTTTGTCTCAAAACAATTTTTCCCAAAACTTTCTTTGCAATCAGTATTGGAAGGAAAGCATTAAATCTGACTTGATACTAATGCACTGTAAGCCATTTTCTGATCTATCACAATACCATAATAGATTAGGCCTAGAAAAAAAATATGTTTGTTTCCGCTTTCGGGCTGAAAAAATATAGGGTAGGTAGGTAGGCAATTTTTTTTTTTTAATTTTTTTTGCTTCTTTAATCAAAACATGTATAGAAGTAACATTAATGACAAAAGAAATGGTGTTTTCAAGCATTACTGTGACTTATCTTGTAATAGAAAGGTGACCCAAACTTCTTTCTGTCTTGAAAAGTTGGCAAAGTTGGAGGCTATAATTCCCTGGTTGAAATCTTGCACATCATGGGACAAAAGCATTAAAAAAATATTTAGGGTCGGCACTATAAATTAGGGTCGGTCGGGAAAGCGGAAACAAACATATTTTTTTTCTAGGCCTTATAAGTACACTCATAGAATTAAGTGTTTTAACACACACCATTTCATTTTCGTGAAGTGAATCATTTAGTGCCACTCGTCTCTGCTCAGCCAGTTCTTTCCAGTAAGACTCAGGAACGTCCTCTAAAAAAAGATAGGTTCAGTCTTATTTTCTCTAAAATTTGTAAATACAAAAAAGATATCCTTTAGCACTATAAATGACTTTTGCTACTAAAAGGGAAACTATCAAATGGAATGTTCAAAATTAAAAGCAATTAATAGTCAAAAATTGGTTTTCATAAATGAATTAATAAAATATTTAATCATTGATAATAATTTTTAAAGTTTTTTCCTTCTAATTTGCAGCAACACATTGCTGTTAAAAAATAGTCTTGTTCAAGGCAAGACCATCAACAAAGCTCTTACCATCAACCATTAATTCATAAGCCTCATCATCAATGTCTTCACTCACAGACCCTAGACTTTTCAGCCTTCTGTTCTTCTCTGTTTGAACAGCTTTGTGATCAAATGTCCTCTCATTTTTTGGATCATTATACACAATCAAAGGTTCCTTCAAAGGTATTAGTTTGTTAACTTTTTTCTACAAAAAAAAAACATGTATAAAATATTTTTTCAGCATAATTAATTCCAAGAAAACAAGATAAAAATATTTTCCAAAATGTATGTTCAAAACAATATTTTATCATGATGGTAAATATGAAATAAAGTATTTTTATCAAATAACCCAAATGAATTTTATTTTATTGTTTAACATTATTGCCAATTTTTCAAATAAGAACATTACTTTGTTTTAATTCCAGTTGTGAGACAGGTCCAATCCCCCCCCCCCCCCCCAAGAAAAAGCAACTAACACGCTTCTAACCTTAGCTGTGGGTGCTTGTCCTGTCTGTCCTATAAGTTTTTGTGGATTTTGAGCTGAACATTGGAGAGTCTGGAAGATTTTTCGGCTTCCCTGCGATTGATCCTGAAATGATATCAGACCAAATAGTTCAAGTTTTAAGTACATTTAAAAATGATTTTACAGGATGCTTCATATTTACTTTGAAGGCTTTTGAGTTTTGACCCCCAAGATGTACATGCTATGATTCAGTGATTGAATATTCTCTAATCTCTTCAAAATAACTCCATGAAGGGAAGGCTTAACTTTTCTATGTGAACATACAGGGGCTTCTTACAATTAATTTGTATTCTTTCTATTTGAATACTCATACACTATTAGTAAAAAATGCGTTGCATAACTATTTAAAAGTGTAGGGGAGTCAAAGCCCCTGTGCCTGGCTGCGGTGAACGTATAACTGGATTACGTTATGACGCGTATTTTTGAAAGAATAATGTATCCATTTAAAAAATTAAAAATGAAAGGTTATAAAAAAAATTATAATGAACCAAGTCACCATGTTCGTAGCTGTTGCCATTTTTACCAAAGAGTGAGTGACCACATCTCCTTGTTTACAAAAGTCAGCTGTATATATTTCTTTAAAATTTCGCATCTGAATGTGAATATTTCACATAAAATATATCATAAATAAATACATACACTGTCTTTGTTCATTTTTTCTTTGTTTGAAGTCTTGAAAGGGCATAAATTTTCTTGGGATTCGATGTTCCTTTCTATCTCCATCTTGAAATCCCCGGGAAGAAATCACGTGACGCTGAATTGTTAACTCGATCAAAAATATGTCGGACCGAGAATATCTGCGTGAAAAAATATTATGCCCAAAATCATAAAAGAACACATTTTAAGCTCCACTTGTGGTTCTTAGCATTTTAAAAGTTCTAAATGATTATTTATCTACTGATATTTTTTTTAAATAGAGACTTCATGTCATTCAAATATTTTAATGAATTTTTTTTACATTAATTAAAATCGTAGTTTTGCTAGCTTCATCATAGCAAAATATTTTAATAGAATGGAAAAAAAATCATATTGCTTGAAATGGTCAACCTCTCAATGTACTGATCAAATGAATTGGCCATTCAACAACAATTCTTTACCATTCACATGATCAGGACAGGGTAAATGGAAAGCGGCATGAAAGCCACAAGTACTCCTTCCAAGCAATATGATTCATTCCAAATGATTCTGGTGATTACAAATCAAAGAATTTAATGTTATATGTCTTCAATAAAAGACATGATCCTGTTATATTTACATTTTCAATTGTTTTCTCTGTGATAACTCTTTGAGAGTTAGTTGATTTGATTTCTTGATAATTCAAATGAATTGTAACTTTCATCAAGCAAAAGGTCAGGAGCTAAGGAGGCCTATAATTATTATTATGCATGTAAATCTCCTGCAGCTGTCTTTGTATCTTTATATTCAAGGACTATTGAACATTGACAATGGAGGCCTCCTGTAATTGAAATCTATTAGACATTTTTCAATCTAATGTAAAATTGTATTTCACAAATAAATTTAATTATAAGGAATCATTGCAGTACTTTTGGGTATGCCAGGGACATCAACAACAGTTGAAAACATTGGATAATTTACACCTAGCTTTTAGTCTTCTAATCATGGGTACAAATAGCTTAAATGGGAGCAGACAGCATGCTATATGTCAATTTGAAAATAATACATTAAAAAGGACCTTACAAATTACAAATAAGCTCGGATAAGTTTGACTTTGAGCTGCTTATTAAGCTAAGACCAATTTTATTAAAAATATACTCAATAATTTTCAGAGGATGGATCGCTTTTATTCATTTTAAAAGCCATAAATATACATATATCAAATAAAAGAAAATTAGTAAATCACATTCTGCTATAAAACTATTCATACCAGATACATGTACATGAATGCAATTTACAACAATAAACATGAGATTTCAGACTGAGAAATATACACAATTTATTTACACATCTCTCTATAATTGTATGAATAATAATCTAAAATTATGAAGGATATAAGGGTATGTTCATGTTTGCTTCACCCTCTGATATATGAGAAAAGTCAATTTCTCTGAAACAATGAACTATATGTTAGTGAGTACAGTATGTTTCAGTTTAAATAAATACAATGTATACCTAGTATACAAATGTACATGTATCAAAGCAGAAAAACAAAAAAAATGTGCCATAAATGATTGGTCCCCACTGTATACAAACAAAAAACTGAATACATTTGGATTGAGTATATATAGACAATTCTCTTAATTATATTTTCTTTCAAGGTCAACAAAATCTTTTCTGAACACACGTACTGATAATAAAAAAGTATCTCCACTCTAACTCCTCAGTTAGAAGTACATGTATCAGCTGCAACTCTTCTTAATCAACATTAAATCAAATAATTTAATCAATGTTTATAAGCTAAGCATATTCCTAATTTTATGTTAGATTCTTGACAAATAGACCAGAAATGCTATATATGTCAATATCTGCATGTACATATGTATTTTTGGCTATGTAATACATGTGCTCTTGACAATCAAAGTTTTGAGATAACTACATTTATCACAGTTACTAGTCATCTCTAAAAAAAAAAAGATATGGAATGTGCTCTCTGGTAAATCATCTTTTTTACTTTCACTGAATTTGCTGTTTAAATTTTATAAAATAGTTTAGCTTGCTACAGTGTTAAAATAAAGCCAAAACCTAGCAAGATTGAAGTTAAATTATATATAACTGTTAATAAACCTCTTTTCAAAATTAAAATAATTAACTAAACATGATGTAAAAAGATATATTAATTTTTTTAACATAGATTTATTAATTAATGCAAATATATATATGTATTGTATACAAAGGCTTCTGAAAAAAAAGGATTCAATGAATGCACTTCGAAAAGAGAGCACTTGCAGTGCTGAACACTTCAACATAAATAATACCAGAAAATGAAAGATCTTTGGACTGTCTTGTGAGCCCTGGGCAATGGATATAAAGATAAAACTCTGCTAACTACTTGATATGTGACAAACGTGGCCGGCTCGACTGAAGAACTTGCGTAATGTGGACCTCATTTCCAATTTCAAGTCAAACATGATGACATCGCACATTAAGTTGTAATATGCTGCTGCATGAACTTTAAACTACAAAATATTTAACATCATTTTATTTCCAAATTTTGTTCAAAAGCATTTACATACATTTGTAAATATGCATGGTGAAAGAAAAAAAATTAAATTAAATTTTAGCCAATATATGACATACAGTGTACCCTATCATTCGGAGTTTGAGGAGGCATTAGTGACTTACCCTATCATCTGTGAGTTTGGGGGGAATAAATGACCTACCTTATCATCTATGAGTTTGAGGACTAAGTAACTTATCATGTCATCATTGAGTTTAAGGAGAACTAAGTGATTTATCCTATTATTAGTAATTCTGTCGAGAACTAAGTGACTTACCCTATCGTCTGTGAGATTGAGCATGTTTATGTCTTAACCTATCACCTGTAAGTTTGAGCCTGTTTATGACTTACCCTATCATCTGTGAGTTTGAGCCTGTTTATGACTTACCCTATCATCTGTAAGTTTGAGCCTGTTTATGACTTACCCTATCACCTGTAAGTTTGAGCCTGTTTATGACTTACCCTATCATCTGTGAGTTTGAGCCTATTTATGACTTATCCTATGGTCTGTGAGTTTGAGCATATGACTAACCCTATCAACTACAAGTTTGAATCTGATTAAGATTTACCCTATTGTCTGTGAGTTTGAGCCTGTTTATGACTTACCCTATCATCTGTAAGTTTGAGCCTGTTTATGACTTACCCTATCGTCTGTGAGTTTGAGTCTGCTTATGACTTAACCTATCATCTTCGAGTTTGAGCCTGTTTATGACTCACCTATGGTCTGTGAGTTTGAGCGTATGACTTACCCTATCAACTACAAGTTTGAATCTGATTAAAATTTACCCTATTGTCTGTGAGTTTGAGCCTGTTTATGCCTTACCCTATTGTCTGTAAGTTTGAGCCTGTTTATGACTTACCCTATCGTCTGTGAGTTTGAGTCTGTTTATGACTTAACCTATCACCTTTGAGTTTGAGTCTGTTTATGACTCACCCTATGGTCTGTGAGTTTGAGCCTGTTCATGACTAACCCTATCACCTATGAATTTTAGGAGGAGTTTATGATTAACCCTATCTTCTGTGAGTTTGAGCCTGTTCATGACTTACCCTATCACCTGTGATATGAATTGCCCTATCATCTGTGAGTTTGAGTCTGTTCATGACTTAACCTGTCACCTGTGAGTTTGAGTCTGTTTATGACTTATCCTATCGTCTGAGAGTTTGAGTCTGTTTATGACTTACCCTATCATCTGTGAGTTTGAGTCTGTTTATGACTTACCCTATCATCTGTGAGTTTGAGCCTATTTATGACTTATCCTATGGTCTGTGAGTTTGAGCATATGACTAACCCTATCAACTATAAGTTTGAATCTGATTAAGATTTACCCTATCATCTGTAAGTTTGAGCCTGTTTATGACTTACCCTATCGTCTGTGAGTTTGAGTCTGTTTATGACTTAACCTATCACCTTTGAGTTTGAGCCTGTTTATGACTCACCTATGGTCTGTGAGTTTGAGCCTGTTCACGACTTACCCTATCACCTATGAATTTTAGGAGGAGTTTATGATTAACCCTATCTTCTGTGAGTTTGAGCCTGTTCATGACTTACCCTATCACCTGTGATATGAATTGCCCTATCATCTGTGAGTTTGAATCTGTTCATGACTTAACCTGTCACCTGTGAGTTTGAGTCTGTTTATGACTTACCCTATCATCTTCGAGTTTGAGTCTGTTTATGACTTACTGTATCATCTTTGAGTTTGAGTCTGTTTATGACTCACCCTATCATCTTTGAGTTTGAGCCTGTTTATAACTTACCCTATCATCTGTGAGTTTGAGCCTGTTTATGACTTACCCTATCACCTGTAAGTTTGAGCCTGTTTTTGACTTACCCTATCACCTGTAAGTTTGAGTCTGTTTATGACTTACCCTATCATCTTTGAGTTTGAGCCTGTAAGTGACTTACCCTATCATCTGTGAGTTTGAGCCTGTAAGTGACTTTCCCTATCATCTGTGAGTTTGAGCCTGTTTATGACTTACCCTATCATCTTTTAGTTTGAGGAGGCGGGTGATGAGGAGAATCATTAGACTCCCCCAGGCTTCCCTGTGGCTGTCAGACTGAAGTGATAGATAGTACTCCAACGACTCTCGACAAACCCTGAATAAGTCAAAAGTTAAATATCAAGATCTGTTCAAAATGAAATCATTAACCAGCATGCTGAATATATCATTTAGTAGCAAAAATTAACAATTTTTTATCAATAGTCTTAAAAATGTTTAAAATTACATAATTAGTTTAAGTCAAGGAAGAAAATCTAACAGACATTATAAGTTAGAGATTTTCATCACGAAAAAAAATCTTACGTAATGAGCATGTTTTCCACATCTTTCCATGCATCCATTCTGGACTCATCATTATACATTCTAAACAGAATCCTGAACAGACAGGCCAGACTCTGTGTCTCCTGCTTCAGAAGATTCGGTTTGGCTTTCCCACGGAATCCTAAATAAGGAAAAATAAAACATATAAATATTGTACATCCTGTATTTCAATTTCAATTTTAGTTGGGAAAAGTATATTGTTCTTACAGAATAATTTTCTTGGAAGGAAGGAAGAATGCATTCAAATAGTGTGCATGTAAATGTATTACTTGGATGAAGGAGGAGAATGAATATAAAGTGGTTTCATTTGACTTCCAGGGATTAATTACATACCAGCTTTCCAGAGAATGTTCCTCTGCTCATGATTGGAGTTGAAGGCCTTGGCAAACTTGTGGGATTCCAGCAGACAGTCAGCCAGGAGGAAGAGCTGGTCCGAGGCCAGGAACTGGTACATCCCCTGGTCCTCCCTCTGCTGACTGCCATCTTGTAAATCCTCTGTCGATCCTCCCTGATCCAGAGAAATAAAAACAGATGAAAATCATGCATTCATTAATAAATGTTATCGAATATATATATTTAATTAAGCAAATAGACCCAAGCCCCCTTTTCAACAAATAACATGAACAGACCCTCTATAACGATGTTACTGTGACTTGTTTTATTTTTTAAAGCTTTGAATTACTACACGTACATGCAGAATTATACGGGACCCTCCCAATCATAGAAGTCACTAGCGGGTAATGTACAGAAATTCACAATTTTCTGTGTGTCTGAGAGTCATGGCTTTAGTGTTATACCTGAGCAGACACTAGATTTTTATGTGCCTGACAGTCATAACTTTAGTGTTATACCTGAGCAGCCACCAGATTCTCGGCGTCCTCCTTTCTGCTTGTGGCTGGGAAGAAGACAATGTCATCAATTGTCTGGATCAGCTCTAGCTGTACCACACACTTAATCAGAAGGCCCTGGAACAGTTTCTGGTCTGATGACACTTCTACAAGGTAAAAGATATCAAAGCTTTTATTCCTGAGCTTGTTTGAGTGACAAATTGTTTCCTAACATACAATACATGTATAATGATGGAAGCAGTAAATGAAAAGACTTGTCACAGAGTTGAAGGTGTATGTTGCATCAACCAACATTTCTCTACATGCTACTTTACAATTTACTGACAATATTAAATTATTTTGTAAAATTCTGTACTCACTAGAACGAGGTATTTTGTGGTCTCTGGAATCCTGGGATATTGTGCTGTTGACACTGTGGTTACTGTCTGCCCTCACTAGTCCTCGGCTATCATGACTGCTGTCCATGGAAACTGCATCCTAAAAGTAAGATTTTTACATATTACTACATAAAATTGGGGTCCTGCATTTGCCAAAACATTCTCAATTGCCTCTTTCTTCTGTTGTTCTATGTGGAGATTGTAATTTTGACTGATCTCACTCTTATTCAGATTGTTGATGACTTTACCTGACTTTCATCAGCATCAAGCTCTGAGTCTCGGCTGGACACCATAGAAGTTGACTCTGCTGTATCAGGTCTCCATGTTAACAAACTGAAATAAATGCCATTATGATACTTATTTCTCATCACATGCATGTACTTTTAAAATGATTGCCAATAATTTTTTTGATAAGTGCTGCACATATTTGTGTTTTCTCTAGGACAACTTTCGGTTCACTCTGTCCTTCTTACCTTGTTGGAATAGTGGACCTAAATATATCCAGCATACAGGAGCAGGTCTGGTGCCAGACCTCGGGTGAGAACTTGGACCCGTTAGAGATGACCAAGTTCTCCAGGCAATTCGTCCCAGACCGGGCCAGCTGTTCGTTGTCCTGCTTCACGCACCAGTGGAGCTGATTGTACAGCTCAGTCAGTAACACAGGACTGAGGATGGTGTAATATTGGGTAAAAACATCCACGATGGCATACAGGGCGTGATTACAGGTGGTCGTCATCCACTCAGCCTTCTGTAAGGAGAAAAAAAAAGAGTGTTTCAGAACATGATAGACTGTGAGATCATCATCGGGTAGCCAATAGGGTAAATTTTTCTCTATCAATGGCAATCTCTAACAAAAGTGGAAGTTAGAAATGAAATTCTAGCAAACTTAGCAAACCACTGAGGCCTTAAAGGCAAAATCTAAGAACAATCTTTACTGCAGATGTAAATTTTATATAGGAAATGTTTATTACTTAAAGCTTTTTCATTTATCACCATCATCCAGAATAAAACTGTTTGCATTGCATACAGAATTTTAAACGGTTTAATTTATGTAATGACCACCTGTGAGTATCAATAGATGAACATGTATTTATAAGTTACCAGATTTAATTACACTTAGTATGCTGAACTGTACACTTTTTCTTATACTTGCCCGTCAATATTTCCACATATCTAGTATTTTAGGAAGCAATTCAACCAAATTAATTTCTAATGAATTGTAAAACAATTTTTCATAAAATCATAACTGACATAATTAAACTAAAATTATACCTGACATAATTCTACATTGGGGCATTCTTTGTGCCATTCTAGGCAAAGCTATGCTAACCATTAAAACTTAAACACATTTAACATACATGAACATCGATCAACACCATACAAAGACAAGCCGATATGTCTTGCACTGTTTAAATATGATATTACATGTATTAGCTTTCTAAAGAGACTGCAGCATAATAAGCAGAGCATGCTTTTAGTTTTATTCACTGCCAAATAAAATCATGACTGAATTACAGAATAACTCAGCAGCTGTTGCACAATCAGCTGATAATTAATTTATGGTGACTTTTACCTGAAAACCTACATTCCACCATAGCCCACACAAAATAAGAGAACTTAACTAACAAACAGACAGACAAACCGGAATTAATATCCCCAACTTTCAGTGAAAATGGGAGACAAAAGACCATGAAGTCCTTGCTTTAAAAATTATTTATAGCATTGTTTAAGGATTGGTTTGATCTGCCTCAGAAAAACCTGACAAATTCCCATAACCAACATAAAAAACCAAAAAACAAGAGCAAAGAGCAAAAGGGTGAAAAGAAAATTAAATATTGCTCCATTCACAGCAGAGTTAATATGTATAATTTTTAAAAAAAAATTGTCAGTTTTCAGATTTTCAATAAATACATACAATGCTTTTCTGTCAAAGAAAATCAAAAAAAAGATGGAATAAAAGAACTTGCACGATGCATGAAGAAAGAAAATTACCTCCTCTGCCTGCCAGGTTCAAAGACAAAGAACAAGGCCAATAAAATCAGGTAGAAAAAACACATTGTCATAGAAACAGTAGACATGCATAGTTTTGCTGTCATAGAAAGGTAAATATATAAAATAAATGTTTTTCTTTGAACTTTTCATTGACTATTATGGTACAAATTTCTTAAATGCATTGTGTAATTTACTTGTTCCTAAAGTGTTCTCTAAGATTTACTTTTTAAGTAGTTCATTGCTCATAACAATATTTGTTACAGTACCGATTGTTTCAAAATAGATATTAACAAATCAAAATTATACAATCTGATTTTGTTTAGGAAATAGTAAAAGACCCCTAGTCTAATTTCCTAAAGCTCTAATCTAAAAGGTTTCATACCCAATATATATGAAGTAATCAAAGAGTCAAGGAAAATAGCTACAAGGAATGCCCACTTATTTCTAATATGTCAAAACATCAAATACTGAAACTCTATGTATCAATCCAATGAGTGTTAGAAAGCATTTCTTAGTGTGCACATAGTTTCAATTACAAAGATAGACAAGTAATCAAGGAGCATTTTTAGTGTCCATGCCATTTTTAGTCAGAAAACTGAGCACACAGTGTAATGACTACGTTACCTTGCTTTTAAAGTGCTGTAATAACAATTAATTCATCTTTACTGTAGCTTATTCTTTGATGTATTTGCAAAAAGAGATCAGCAAGAATATGAAAACTGTTTAGCAACAAACCCTCATGGTTTTTTCAAGCTGGCATCTTAGCACTTCAAATAATTATGATAAAAACATAATTTTAAAAACTTTTTAACATGAAAATAATCTGAAATGTTTCAAAGATTATTCATATGTTTAACCTTACAAAAAAGTCAAGTGATATGTACATGTATAAGTGATATGCATGTGACATTAAAATCTCTTTAAGAATATGATGCAAGTGTAAACTGAAGCATTCTCACAAAATGCAATTTATCTTCAGCTTAAACAATATTCTGCATATGATGTCCATGAAGTTTTTACATACATATTACATAACTGAATGAAAAAAATTAATAACTAAGTTATATTTGAAAGCAAAATATGCTAAAGGCCATTTCTTAACCTTCAAAAAATTCTAGTTCATGGTTTTTACATTTTACTTTTTCCACAAGGTAAATATTAAATCTAAGTTTTCTAACAATTAGCATTTAAAAAAAGAAAAGGTTCTGTATCTATTGTAAAAAAAAAAATACTCACTTTCTTCATAATTTTTTCACAAGGTAAAAATTAAATCTACATTTTTTCTAACTATTAGCATTTAAAAAAAAAGAAAATGTTCTTTATCTATAGGAAAAAATACCCACTTCCTTCATAATTTATGCAGTAAAACCCTGACCTACATGTATTAGCATCTACAAAAAGTGTCCAACACAGATAACCCAAGGACAAAGCTGTGGTTTTATGACATATCTACAGGGTGAGCCAAAAGCTGTGTGAAGTTAAGTGCCACAAAACCCTGCACCCTCAGTAAGTTGTTAGTAGATCACCTCTACCAGACTAAGACTGACTTACGCTGACCTCGTTTTGTTGCTCCGGTAACTTCATGTTGTCAAAGATACGGAACACAATCTGGAACAGATCTTTCCACCAATGGCTGGCAAAGCTCTCACCGTAGGTCTTCATAATCTCAAACATCACCGTTAATCCCCTAAAAGTCAGATCATACAGAGGTCACTAAAGAGTACAGAGGTCATCTTTATGTACATAAATGTACAGGTACAGTGTATGTCAATTTCAAGATAGGCAAAATCTAACATTGAATGTTAAGCGATAATGCATCAAATTATTATTACACTGATTGAGAAACATTTCTAAAAATAACTTTTTCATCCCTTTCTGTTACACTTTCTTGTTTACCTGGTCCTAACATCCAGTTTACACCTATTGATTACACAAGACAGTTCAAACAACACTGGAAACCACCCCCTCACCCACACACGATCCTCCTCTGGAATATTTAGATCCTCGCCTCCATGATCTTTGAACATCTACAACAAGAACTTAACATATTAGAAATATACCCAACTTACAAAACAAGCATCTTATACATAGAAAATATATTTTTTGTCTTTTGTATATTGATTTTCTACTTACGTGGGGTTTTTCGGCGACATATTTTGCACAGTTCCTGATCAGCCTAATGGCTTCCATACTTGTATCAGGGAAGGCAGCATTACATGCAAACTCAGAAAGACATTTAACTGCATCTTGGAATGAGTCGATAATGGAAGCAAAATGTTTCTCACATATGCTGGCTGCAGATATAAATCAAACAATTTTTTAAATGCTCTGTACAAGTCGATATCATAGATGAAAATTATTTTTTGTATAAAATTATCTTCAAAGTACAGGTATATGTAAGAGTGCATTATCCCGCTTCAGACAAATTTAGATTTTTTAAAATATATAAAATTACGTCTTCGAGGCAAAGTATTCCGTTCGAAGCGTTGTTATTGTAAATAAAAATGGCAGCAAAGAAACAGTTTACGTAGGTAGTTTAGTTAAATTTCTTGTTACCGTTACGATATTTTATGCTGATTGTTATTGGATTAAAACGTAATATTTTCATAATATGCACAAATATTTTTTTCATATTGAAAAAGGTCTTCAGCGGGATAAATTCGTTACACAGTCAGTTAGTGACCTAATACGGATTCATACAGGGTGTGAAATGGAAATCTGTATTGGGACTCGGCTTCGCCTCGCCCAATACGGATTTCCATTTCACACCCTGTATGAATCCTCAATAACTAATAGTATCCTCAATAATACATGAACTTTTCCCACAGAAAAAAACAATCAAGATGCTAATAACTACACTTCAACCTCATCAGTTTAAAATCAAACCTGTCTACCTTTAGAAAATTATACACAGAGTACTACAGGTATTAGTGCAGAAGTGCATTCCTTATGTTCAGGAAAAAATAAAAAATCAAAGACTCAGTTTGTTAACAAGGAAACACTAAATAACAAAATCATATCATTCCTGTGGTAAGTTATTTTTAAGCTTCATTTTTAAACTTCTGACTCAAGATTTCAAAATCAAACAGGGGCAATCAAATTTATGAAAAGCAAGAAATAAAAATCCTAGATTTTTTCTGAAGAGATGTATCATTAATGGAGCAGACAATCTGAAGTGGAACAAATGTGAATGGGTGCACACACTTCAAATCCTCTATGTTTACCTTTACAGAAGGTGAAGTCATCTGATCCCTTGACAACACCACTGCTGGCAACTGTAGTACAAGGTATTGTACGTGCATTTATAATAAACCAATTTCTACTAACTTACACACTTAGTGAACAAGCTTTTCACATAAATATACATGTATATTTGACAAATTTCTTCAGAATAATGAGCTATATTTTTGACTCATGACTTCAATTAAACAAATGCAAGGAACAAAGTCATACTTACATATAATTCTGCCTGTGGTCTGGAATGCTAGCTCTACAATGCTTTCTTCATGATCAGACTCATGACTTCAATTAAACAAATGCAAGGAACAAAGTCATACTTACATATAATTCTGCCTGTGGTCTGGAATGCTAGCTCTACAATGCTTTCTTCATGATCAGAAGCAGCTAAATGAAACACTCCAAAAATATTCTTCCAGCCAGAACGAATGTTTGCATGTTGGGAGTTTACCATCTGAGCAACACAACGGACCACCATGTCTCTTATAGTGGGAGATCTGTAAAGGAAATTTAAAATTACACTTTTACTATAAACTCTTTCTGTTTGCTAAAGACAGTTGTGCTGAAGATTGTTTACACCATATATACTCACTAGGGATGTCAAATCGGTCAATTTTTAATACTCGATTACTCGGAATCGAGTACGGGTACTCGGTAAAAGTGTAAATAAATATGAACAAGTAACATTGATAACTGTAAAACATTGTTAACTCTTGTAGAAATACAACCACTTTCTCCGATGGGAGATTTACACGTACCGGTAAATCTGATGTAATAATTATGAACACTTCATGCCCGACAGAATTTAATGTAACATTTTTAAAGTCTAATTTATTTATCAGATAAACACAAGGAATAAAAGCATAAATAGTTCACAGATTTTTTTTTAATAATAAGGCCTAGAAAAAAAATATGTTTGTTTCCGCTTTCCCGACCGACCCTAATTTATAGTGCCGACCCTAAATATTTTTTTAATGCTTTTGTCCCATGATGTGCAAGATTTCAGCCAGGGAATTATAGCCTCCGACTATGCAAGCTTTTCAAGATAGAAAGAAGTTTGGGTCACCTTTCTATTATAAGTTAAGTCACAGTAATGCTTGAAAACACCATTTCTTTTGTCATTAATGTTACTTCTATACACGTTTTGATTAAAGAAGCAAAAAAAATTTTTTCAAAAAAAAAAAAAATTGCCTACCTACCTACCCTATATTTTTTCAGCCTGAAAGCGGAAACAAACATATTTTTTTTCTAGGCCTAATCGGCTACGTATATTGTAATGCAACTCTTCGGTTGTGTTTGACGTCCAAGTGATCAGTCATCAGAGCTACATGTACAGTATCAACTTGATCAAGTTCTCCTATAACAGAGCGGATTAACGATCTAAGTACAGTTTTTCGATCCTATATTTTATAGTATTACGGGACGGTATGTTGTAGTTTGATCAACGATGGACATCATTTTTTTAAAGCCTTTGTCTTCAACCATTTGAATTAATTGGCATGCAATCAAACGCAACCATATCAACAATCCGTTCGCACGTGTAATATCATCTGTCTCTTTTCCCGAGAATTTACGGCTTCTTGGAGAATTGACTAAATTATCTAATTTATTTAAACATGATAGACCTTAAACGATGTTCAGTGAAAACAAATCATTAAAGCAAACAAAAAATAAGGGTAGAAGACAGCCAAAGGTGAGAAAAGCCAGGTAACAGGTGCTTGGTCACGATAATTACTGTATAAACACTGCCACGGGTGATAACGGTCATTTAAAGGCATAGGAAACCCTAATTACAGTATGTACAACTGCAATGAATGTTTTACTTTTCAAAACCAATGTTTTAATGCATTAATAAATGAGCTTAGATACATTCAAAAATATACATCCGAGTAATCGAGTACCGATTTTAGTATTCGATACTCGGACGTTTGATCGAGTACCCGGTTAACACAGCCTTTTTTTTGGAGTTAAATTTTGGAACAATACTCATTGTCCGACTTTAAAGGTGAGTTATAAAAATACTGGTATTTTAGAGAGTCAATCCCCCTAATATAAGCTGAAAAAATACAACAGACTTGTAGGATAGTATATACAGTAATACATGTAATAAGCAATCAAGACCCTTTCTTATACATGGTGTTCTAATGACATTACTTTTCACTAATTATAAATATGAATATGTACAGGGATTCACAGCCTAAAAGCACTTCTTCTGACCTGTTTCTTTTCATAATATGTTCGAAAGGCCTGAGAAAGTCTTTCTGGAAGCGGAAGTTGGCAAACTCTCCTTTTTCTATGAACTTCATAGAAAGCTGTCTCAGGGAATCCACAGCAAAAAAAGCAATGTCTTCATTGGGATTACAGCCCACCTGGAAAAAACAAAAACAAACATGATTCAAGGGTGTTCAATGAAGGCATAAAATATGAATTGTAACATATGCATACATATTTAGCAAGGTTTCATATCCATTTCTTATTTTCAGAATAAAAAAAATAATTAAATAATTTACAGACTTTATGTCTCAGAGAAATTTTTTATTCTTATTATTTTGCCTTGTGAATTTCACATGAAAAGAACATTATGGAAACATACATGTACATATATGTGTGAGGTAAAGTTCTTTATACACAAAATTCATGTGAATTTGATGTTAACTTTTTAGAATTTGAAATTCATGACTTGGTTGTGTATACTGACCTTATTAAAGTGATCACCTATGATCTGCCAGATCCTTGACCACTGCAATCTAATACGCCCCATGTTATAGTAGGAAATCTCTACTATCTTTGTCAAGCTGAACATCCGTGGGTGATTCACATTGGAAAGTTCATCCATAGATACTTGACAAAGAGCCTTTACAAACTCCACTACAAGTAAAACGTGAAAAATTGCATGTCTTGTCATGAAATAAAGGTAGAGAATATATTTTGTATAAATTTTATTTAACACTAAATTATCTTTAAAAGTTTTTTTAACATCACATTTCCAGATAAAGTACTGCAGATTCTCAAATATACATGACCATGTACAGTGTACATGTTTGTACCATTTGCAGAATAAATTAATTGTTTATTTTTATGGTACTGAAAGCCATGTAAATTCTCTACATCAAAAGTCCATTGGTGAATTATTGTTCTCTAAGGGTCTAACGGCCATGTACTTGTGTAATATATGGAATCCATCATAATAAATAATATACATTATAGACTAGACATTAGTTGCTCCTTACCTATGGCATCTCCATCCAGTTTGACGGATCCTGTGAAGATCCTATCAACAGCCACCACCACACTCTGAGAGCTCGTCTCCCCCATCTGCTCCTGGAGGTTTGCCAGTCTCTTAGAGTCCAGACCACCCTTAGCTATCACTGAAAAATGTATATAAGATATCCATGTGTACATACTCCAGAACATCGCTTTTTTTAATTCCATCCATGGATCACTCACATACCAATTTATGGATGAAAAGAAGCTAAAGAGACATGATCATTTTTAATTTTTTTTTTTACCTTCTGGGTCAAATGCCTCCAGTGGATGCCCTGCATTATGTATTTCCCTTTCCCTATGATGACCTTTGTTTGACCTTGGTTTCACTCCAGTACCAATTAACTGGGCAAGTTCTAGTTGTGAAATGCATTTTGCAATCTATAATTAAAATCACATGATACAACTTTAAATTCTCATTGATGAGCATAACAAAGACAACATATGGTCTCTCATTCAGGTATTGCTTAGTCCTTTTATTAAATGACCTTTACCTCTAGCCAGGATTTTCCCAGATAGTTGCCGTCTGTGTGAGCCACAGAGATGAGGGTTTTGATTGTATCAATGTTCTTGGTTTTCATGTCTGTCAGTGATGAGGAGGCGGTGAGAAGGGTAAACCTGGCTAAAGCCTGCACATATGCATCTCTCTCCAGCTAAAATGAACAATGTGAATTTATTTGATACAAATCCTAATTTAATTTTATTGAATTTAGAATTATATTGCTTACAGACATGCATGTATACCAGTGTGTCAGAATGAATTAGATTTTTTTCTAGAAAGACATTACTATGCATATGTAAAACATGTTTCAATTAAATAGCATAATTTGGGACAGAAAAATGGCTGGCTTCCTGGTTCTGGACTTAATAATTTTGACCTGTGCTCACTAAACATTCTGTTCAAACAGTTCAGTTATGGTACTTGTAAAATGGTAACTAAAACTGGTACCAGCAACGATTAACTTAATTTTCCTACTGACCAACAAAAATTCTGGTTCTACTCTACTCACCTCCATGTGAAATATACAAGCTATTCTAATGGCACATCGTATTCCATCCAAGCAGAGAGTGGCAATGTTAGAATCATCACAGTCTTGTAGTCCCACACTGAATGCAGCCAAAAATGGGGTCCAGGCCATCTGACAGAAGTCAATACAAGTTCATATATTCACAACATTTATCACATGGAATTTCAATAAAAAGACAATAACTTGAACAGATGTAGTATATCTATTACAGAATACATACAGCACTGAAACTAGAATTCTGACCTTAAACATTGGTCGAACATGTTCAAAGTGTGTGGCACTGGTGAAGTTTGATTGGACGTGACTGACACTCTCCATTAAAGCTTTAGCCGTGCTGGCCATCTTGTCCATCTCCACATTATACAGCAGACGACGCTGCTTGTCACTGGTGATGTCACCTAGCAACCAATCAAATTGCAGTTTTCAAAAATTTAAATGAAGCATTTAACATACCATTCCAATCAGTTTAATTCTCTGCATTTAAGAATATTAGGAGAGAAAACTATTAAACCATGAACTTACGAGATGACTTATTTGGTTTGACTCCACCTACAACCTTCATTTTGATTTCATTCCCCGCGATCTCATCATAGATCTGTGATAAATATTCCTCAGGAAGATCTTTGCTGTCATTAATGCCCCTGTTCATCTTAATATACTGTTCCTTTGTCATCTTATGGATTACCTATTGAGAACAAATAGCTCCATAATAGATATTCCTGTGTGCAAGAAATAAAAGCATACTGGATATTTTATTTTAGATGTACATCTTGCATATTCTAAAATCCCAGTATTACTTTTAAAACCTGAATATTTGTACTATGTACGTACAGGTAGCTCCAGTCACATTTTCCAAAGGTATTATCTAGAATATTTATTTACAGCTATGCATTTCAACAGATTTTTTTCTTGGGAGGGTTGGGGTTGGTCCCTGAATTGTAACTGTTTGCATATTCTATATCTAGCAGTCTGTGTAAAACTCAACATAAACCAAACACTACTTTATGAAAAGACAACTTTTTTTAGCAATCATTTAAGAACTTGCACCAAAAATAATTCCCCCATCCCTCCCCACTTAGATCTACCGAGACGGAAAGGAGAAAACAAAATGGAAAAGAAGAAGATGTTTACCTGTGGACTGTGGAGGTCTGTGGTTAACATGATGATGGAGTAAGCTAACACGTATGCTGTATCGGCACTAGCAAACAGGTTCGTGCTGAAAAAGATAATATTAACAACATTAATGACTATGTACAGTATTTTAACTTTTACATGGAAAACATTGTTCATTATTGCAAATTAGTTTGTTCGTTTTGATTGATTAAACTTAGCAACAGATATTAACTTACTATTTTGACATAATAACAAATACACATGTAGGTGTTTTCTTTTATAGAATTTTTCATGCATTTCCGAAAAAAAATATTTATAGATAGTGACATACTTGGAATTGCAAACACAGTAGCGAGAAGCAAACTTTTCCATCAGTCTGTCAATTTTCTGGGCTTCCCCTGGTAGCCGAAATCCTTCTAGAAATCTTCGCAGGGCAGATACAAAGTCCATTTCTTGAAAGCGCAGCTGGTCCACATAAGCATACATCACCTCCTTGTTGAACCTGAAGAAAATTTACACAATAAACAAATTTATTTGTATTTCAATGTCTGTGAATAGGATTTATGTTGAAGATCAAAAGTTTTTAGCAACTTACTTTTCATTCTCTCCTAGAAAATCTCCAATAACAGTCTAAAAATAAACAAAAATCACAAAATTAAAGTTCCTCAGCATTTCAAAAATCTTCTCTTAGTCAAAAAAGCTATTTAATCTCCTTAAAAATTGCTTAGCAAAGCAAGTTTGACAAACCTTATCTAATCTTTCATCTGAGTGAAAAAATTCAGCAATATCATCTGGGGTACTTCCCAGCATCCCATGCTCCTGTAAATACTGCAGACCTCTTTTTGGTTTCTTGTTAAACCTTTAAAATAAATAAATTCTTTACTGTACTCTAATCAAAGCAAACTGTGCTGTATAAAACATAAACATTATGTGCTGTTTAAAGGGGAATAACTCTAGCTAAATTGACAGAGATTTGTTCTAAACTTCAGAAAAATCAGTTATCAAAAAATAAATAGCTTTTCTATCTCAAGACCCCTATGCATTTCATTGTATCAGAGTATCACATTCAATGTAAGTGGCTATTTCTTACATATCAATGCCTGTTTCCATTATCTCTTTCTGCTGTTTCTGAGTTTCGAACTGTTCAGGATTATCTAGCGGAGTACTAGGTGTCTGTGCACCATCATTGGTATTCAGTGAGTTCACACTGCCATAACTTGTCATAGTACCCTTCCCAGAGTCACTGTCTGTCTCTGTGCTGGGCATATTTTCTTGACCTACAAAAGAAAAGTCATTTTCATGTTTAATTGACAACAACCCAGATAATACAATGTAACTAAGCTAATCAAGTAAACAATCGATCACAGATTGAGGCTAAGATAATCCATGTGTATATGTAGCTATCACAAAGACAATTTTGGTGAGAAGTGTAAAGAAGTAAAGAAGGCTCACCTAAATTGGACTGAGAGTGTGGATTGACATAAAGATCCTTGCTCCATTCAACCATACACTTCAGAACTGACACCAAGCATTCCAGGCCTTTGATTCTAATGCTCTTTTCTTGAATTGGAGTAGCACCTATAAAGAGTACACATTATTACTTATTTTCAAAACTCTTAATTAATGAAATCTTTTCAATTTTGTGCCCTACTCATGCACTTTAGGTCAGTTATACTCAGTAATATCCAGCAGAACAATTTTTCAGGCTCTTCAATCCAACTTGAATGTTAAATAATGTTGATTATCTTTACTTGTACAAGATGACATATCACAGCTTGGTTGCATAAAAGTAACAATTTAACTTATCACGAAAAGTCTATTTACATGTATACCAGCTGCAATAAGGTCATATGTTTCCATCTACCAAATAATAAATTAGTTTACAAATAAATGAGAACGTTTTCAATTTCTGGTTTTCTCTAAAGATTCCTAAAATCTCTGACTAGTTGCATGTATACAAATCCATAAAATTGCACACTTTCAGACCAATGTTAATTTTTTTACTACTAGTGTACAAGTTCTGTAAGCTCCGTGAATATTTTTTCATGAAAAAAACTGCAAACCTGCACAAATTCTTGTCAGAGCCTGAATGACCATCCACTTGTGCTCAAAAGAACTGCTTGGTGTCTCCAAGATATACAGAAATTCACAATGTCTAAATCTACAGTTTATGTTGGCTAAGGGCGGTTTTATACGATAGAACGCTTATTACGTTGTAAATTCAAAGCACAAAACCATTTCTTAACAAAACTATAAATATAAAAATTTTGTCCACACAGTGTTGCATGAGACACTAAATAAACATTGGAACACCTGTGCTTTGAGAGAAACTTACAGGGCAAGGTGATTAGTCTTGATTGCACCCACCTGGACTGTTCCAGCGAGCCCAGTAGATTTGGAGACGTGCCAAAGCCGTTGTTAAACCATTAAAGTTAACTCATAAATCTAGCTTCTTCTTTATCTATCACTGTAATTTTTTTTTTAATTCTTTTATTCTTTATTTCATACTTAGTTTAATAAATTAATTAAATAAATAAAAGGTTACATTTAATATTATGCATATAATTATATGTTGTACACAGGTACACATAATGTGTAATTTCGTTTGCAAATAAACTGTGTGAATTAACAGCTTGGGTATCAAACATCATTAGGACAAAATTTGAACTCCACTACAAACGTTTTAACAGCTTGGGTAGTGGCTAGGACTACCTCTCAGTTGTCAGCAGAAATACAAATCGATAATTGCTGTGCTAATTGACCTCTGTTCAGTAATTAAAAAAAAAATATTTTGACAGATTGCTTGTCTATTTACTTTGACCTTTTTATTTGAATAAAAAAATGTTGCTGTTTATTTAGAAATGACTTTTAATTGAATACAAAGAGAATAAAATAATCAGAATTTTGGTTGTTGTTTATAAAGAAATGACTATGACTACGAAGACATTGAAATTTTCACGAACGCATTATCTGGACAGAAACGAAAGTGAAAGTATATGTTGCAGAAAATGGCGGCAATGAAAAGAAGATTGTCGAAGTTTCTATTAAAAATTGTGCACTATGCTTTTACTATGATGGAAAAACAAAAATAGACATGAAAGTTACATGTATCAATGAATTAAGTGTATATAGCATATTGGTTAAGAATTTGAGCATAAAAAGGAGATGGAAGGTAAAAATACACCCCATACAATCACACGTTTTCCAAACGATGTTTTACTGGAAGAAATGCCCTCGGTATTACGATATTTTACCGTAACAAAGTGATCAAATAAATACCAGTACTTTGAAAATGCCCAGGTAAGTAATATATTCCTTACCTGAAATATGCTATTCTAAAATTGCTGTAATAACCTGCTGATGTCAATAAAATATGTAGTATGAAATATTTTCCATGAATGGCTTATAGAATATTTTACCTCAATTTGCATCTTCAGATGCTGTTTGAAGTTTGACAACAGGGTGAGGAATATGGCCAGGGACAGCTCAAACACTTCTGGGACTGAGCTGACCCCGTTTTTGGACAAAGCCACACACAAGTACTGTTTTATGGCATTAATAAACATCTCATTAGTTTTGAAGACTGGTCCAGCATTTTGTAGAATGGATAATAGAAGTTGTAACGAAAGGGCTTTAGAGCGAAGCTCATGTGACCTGTAATAAAAAGAAAGTTAATTAAAGAAATATTTTTTGTAAAACAGAGATTTTTTTTAAAATTGTAATTGAAATGTCTTTTGATTCTTACTTTGGATCTGGTGGTCCATCAGCCAAAGGTTTCATGGACAATTTACAAAGACTTCTGAACACAAGGAAGGCATCCTTCTGAAGAATGTGACTAAACACCCCCTGTGTCACCTCACCGTCCACATTGCCAGATACTGCAAAATTAATACATTATAATGTCAATTTGATTACCCTGCTTTGCTTCTGGATATTTTTTTTCTAAACTGCAAATGGAAATCAAAATAATAATTTACTTATTATTTTTATTAAAGGTATAAGAAATCAGCATAGAAATTCTAAGCCAAAAAAATCTTCATGCAAAGAAAAAAACATCATGCTTATAAAATCTTTGTGTATTAGTATTTATAAATATTATAAATAAAACTAAGGAAGAAGGCTTGTAATATAAAGAAAGGTCCCGATTACCACTGAGATTGTCTTGGTTATCAGATATATTTGTAGGTGGGGCCTGCTCAGAACTTTCTGGCTGGCTACCAGTTTCTGTTGGAGAACCAGTTTCTTCAGGTGTCAATTGGTCTGTATTTTCTGCACCAAAGTTAATTCACAAAAATACAATCCTGTGAGTTGTAAAGCTTGTTCTGCATTTTTAAAGCATTAACATTCATATTTGAGACTAATCTAAAAGGATAATTCTATAGGTAAGGATAAACATGCTTAAATACAAATTTTGAAAGTGGCTATACAGTACTTGTGTTCATTTTTAATATAAGCTATGTACGTATATATATCATGTATATTGAAGCTGATAATGTTTATTCAAGCTTTGAAGTACATGTATACGCTATTGGTATATAGATTTCAGAACATCTTTTTTCATTGCAAATATAAAGCAACATATTCTAAAATTCAATTATTTAATAATGCAGAAGATAAGGACAGAAGGGCAACTTCTAAAAGAATGTTTATACTTCTTTTCAAAGCACCATACTGTTGCAATGGATTTATCAAAGCTGATGAAGATAAAACTAGTTGAAAATCAAGATTCTGAAGCATTCACAGCAAAAAAGCAACCACCTCAAAAAACTCCCTTCCACTACTTTCTAGAGTGAAGGTCACAGCTGTCAATCATACCTTTGTTGGGCGTGTCCTCTCCAGTCACCTGACTAATCATTTCCTCCAAAACTTCCTGTACAACCTCTAGAGGTGACTCCTCCTTCTCCTCCTCCTCAGTGGTTTCATGTCTCTCATCATCTCCTTCTAAAAATTCAATTTATTATCAGAACAGCAAAAAAAAAAATCAAAAGCCTGAAAGGCTTCAATGGCGTCGAACAAGAAAAACAATTTCAAAAGATCTGCAAATAGGTCAAGTGAGTGACTCCGGTAACATAATGATAAAATTAAAAAAAAAAATAGTCTTAACACAAAGACAGTATAGGGCCTGATCGCCTTGTGTCCTTTATAGGGTTCGACACAGACATCGTCAGAAATGTCCATCCTCTATATCAATCTACCAGGTAATTTCTTTTCAGTCAATCGAAGACTTATGAAGGGTTTCATAAATTATTTTAATTAATTGCCATTGTCAGAGTGTTGTTCTGTTGTATAGTGATTGCATCTTAACTACAACCATGACTCTAATGTTACAAGTATGATCGACTTACGATAATAAATGGAGGAAATGGATAATTCTGAAATACAGGCATTACTTTAATATCGTAGGTTGTTCGGCTAAAATTGGATTGAAGATCGTAAAAGTAAAGCTAACATTAAGAAATTCAATCTCTATAGTCTTGTTGTATTCGTGTTTATTTTGTAATTATTTTACCGTATTTAAATTTGTTTGTATTACTCAGAGACATATACGTCTCTGAAACATAATCGGTCCAAAAATGTGATTCATGTCATATTCGACAACCACCTCTCATAAAATTCATCCGCAACAACCATAACGTTTTTTTGCGTAAAAATTAAACATATCGTTGTTTTGTAGTAATATTAATTAAAGATACAATTGATTTAATTTTATATTCAAGCTATTGTTCATTGTGAACGTTTTAAAAGAAATTGGTTTATAGCTGTTGCTATTTTCTATTGCGGATGCATCCACTGACACATACGGTCGCGTAAACCTGCATGACTGATCCCTAGATGACGATCAGGCAAGCCCGACGCCATAAAAAAGAAGAAGAAGAGACCATCATCCCCTCATCATTTTTGTATTGATGCTTATATTTCTGTTTTAACTCACCTTTTTCTGTCTCCTCCTCTTGTTTTCCTTCCTCCATATCTATTCCTGCATCCTAAAACACAAAATAAATATGTAAATGTAGTCTCCTTTAACAGATGGATTTATAAACATGTAAATTTTGATACACAATTAAACATACCATATTTTTATGACAAATGAATCTGATATAAAAACTCCCCTTAAAAGCTCCTTGCTAGGTCATGATTGATTTTATTTTCAATACAAGGTTAGCTTAAAAGATTACAAAACAAAACTTACAATGTAACAAATTTCTCACCTCTTTTTTAGAACTCTTGCTATCACTTCTTTCCCTTTCCTTTGCTTCCTGGGCCTTGAAAAAGAATTGAAAATGTTTTAAAATCAAAAGCAATTTCTGATTAATTCATTTAAATGAAAATCAATTTTTCATCCTAACACTTACGGCTTGAGCCTCCATCCTTGAGAAGATGACATTAAGCATCTGAGTGAGGGTGGCCTTCGCCGTGGTCTGATTGATCAGGTTTTTACTGGCCAGGTAAATATTGTAACACGTCCTCACTGTCTGAAGCACAGTACCCTCATGTATCTCACAGGTGTTAGAGGTCACCACTGTCAACAGTGCCTATTTAAACACAGAAATGTTACAGACTGTCATATATTTTATAAATGTGCATTAAAAATGAGAAATGTTACCGAACACATCATTTATAATACAAGTCCTATTAAACATTCCATCATGCAATGTGATAGTTACAATAATGAAACACTCATCAAATATTTAATAATGGGGCTATAATATCAAAATTTTGAATGACAAAAATTTCATTATCCTTTTCTTATCAAGATTTGCCCCCTGACCTTGATAATCTGTAGCTGCACCCCTTCATCTGTCTGTGGGCCATGGAAACAGCCACAAATAGTCTCCACGATTCTGTCAATCAGGAGCTTGCCAGGGGTGGTGCTGTCCACTGTGCTCCCAGTGAGGTGTCCATAGGCTATCAGTTTCTGTACAGTAAATAAAGCATGATAATATTTACATAATTTTTAAAATATTACTTAATCTCACAAAATTGACAGCATGACATTATCAGTTTTTAGAATAAAACATACTGAATCTTAATCTTAAACCAAATGAAATGCTTTTGTTCCACACATTCATTAAATCAAATTGATTTAAAATTTCAAATTAATAAATGTTTACAGATCTTTGTTTAATTATATATGGACAATACCTGTAGACAGTCTAATGCTATGTTGACAATCCTGGCACATTTTGATTGGCAAGCTAATTCAAATGGCAGGAAATACTTGTCTGCCTCGACAAATCCTGCTTTCTTGGGCTGCGGCAAGGCTGACGATGACTGGTTCCTGAACAGAAAAGTATTGTTTTAATGTTATAACCATTTAAATTGTATGTGTGAATTTTGTCCTAAGCACTGGTCCAATTGCGGTCAATAGGTTGATAGTAGAAAAAAAATCAGAAATGAATTAGATTTCATCAGCTCCAGAGCTTTGAAACATCAATACATTACAAAGAACATTCAAGCAATAGTACATGTACCGGTATACATAATCTTTCAATGAAAAAATCATTCTTTCTTTTTATCATATATTTTTTTTAAGTATGAACTCTGTTAAGTTTTAACAGACTAGTAAAACTATCAAGTCTTGACCTATATTCTACTACAATGTCGACTGAATTTTTACAAGGTAGTCATACTTTGATTATACACTGTAATTACTTTCCTTTGAATTGAAGAAATTAAATCTAGAAAGTCAAGTAAACCAGAACATACCCATTAGAACTGCTATCATCCTTTAACTCTTCTGAAAAACAAAAATAAAAATATTTAGGTGTTTAAAAAATTTCTCACTTATTTATATATGCCATAATAAAAATTAGAAGTATATTCATAAAAAATATTTATGCATAAAAATGATAATTTGAAGAAGGAAGATATGTCGAAATAACAATGCATTAAACTTACTTCAATTGGACAAGGAGGAAACGTTTCAACTGAAGGTATTATGAGAAATGTGAAAAGGTATTTCAGATCATTGGTTTTACCATCATACCCAAGCGTACTAATGATTAAAGTGCCTATATCAGAACTTCTATCCTTCAACATTACAGACTCAAAACAATATTTTAACTTTCTAAATTTTATTTACCCTTGTTATATTGAAATGTAAAATTTAAGGTAGTCTGATCCTCAGGTTTATAAAATTAGCAATTAAGTAATCAAAAATACTCATAAAAGTATCGCTGAATCTACAAAATTATGTAATTTTGTCCACAGTATTTCTTTAAAGTTTAAGATTAAGCTTAATCATACTATGTATATAGGGAAAATTGCCAAATCTCCAATATTTTTGTAGAAAAAGTGAATTGGGATATCTGCAATGCATTTTCTAATTGCAAATTGACCAACAAATATGTTTTAGGTTTAAAAACGATAGGTATCCAGGCATTCAGAGAAATTGTCATGATTTTCATATTTATTTGGTATTTTTTGTCTTCTATTTCCGTCATATATTCTATAGTACATAGTGTAACAGGCTTTTGCTATCATTGCAAGACACCACAAATCACTTTGTATGTCATATCATGCTAATTTGTTTTCATAATTAAGAAACACTTACTGTATTAATTTTTTTCCTTTTATAGGGTACAAATGTCAACTTTTATAAGACCTTTTCTAAGACTTCCCAAAGCCATTTTCAAGCTTCATTTTGATGCATTTCACTGCAGAACTTAATATGATATTACAGATGATTCTTATTCAGTTTGTTTTCATAATTAAAAATTTGAAAAATTTTAAAGGTAATTGATCATTATTTAAAGATTGTGAGGATCTGATTGATCATTTGACTAATTATATAATAATTATTAATCAATATTAGTTCAACACATATAGTTTGCACTTTAACACAAGTCTTCACAGTGACTAACAACATCTAGCTTCTACAACTATTTATAACATCAGTAATGAGTTTCACATATATAATTCATTCCAGTAAGTTAGTCACTGCAAGCTCTGAAAGCAATGTCTAGTCAAAGAGAAAATTCAGTCTTTGCACATCAATTCAAATGATTTTTTTCAAAGTAACCTCTGGACCCACAATATTTTGCAAATTGCATCTTGTTGCACACTATGTTCTTTTGAGAACAATTTAATTAAAATCAGGTGTTAGATCCGCTCACAGACTTGCTACACTAACATCTAACAACATCCCATAGAGGGTCACATCAAAGGTCAAATTCGGAAAAACTCTAGACTTATTCACTTCAGCAAATATACAATGATTTTGCAGGTGACAATTTGATTAGTTGATAGAATTTGATCTCTGATGTGACCCTCTATCGGGTGTTGTTAGATGTTAGTGTAGTGAGAATGCGAGCGGAGCAGGTCTGACATCTAATTTTAATTAGATTGTCTTGAGATTTGAGAACAACTTAAACGAGATTCCTCTGACTCTTACCACTACTTTATATACTGTGACATGTGCAGGGGAGACATGGCTCCTCTGCACATCACCCACATGTCAAAAAATTTAAAGCAGGGGTAAGAGTCAGAGGAGTCCCAGATTAGAAAACAACAAAAGTTCAAAAGGAATAATCTTATGTTCTTCATTTCAATTTGCACAGCCATTGCTCAGGCTTTGATTTGGTAATGCAACTTTCATACAACGACATGAGACGCCAGAGTCTGGATGTACCAAATATCATGATATGTGGGTTGAAGAGACTGAACTAAGGCCATCCTTAAAAAATTTATTTTTTGCGGTAACGCGCCTCATCATTTTAGGTGTGAGTAGGTAGGTAGGCTTTTTTTTTTTTGAGACAAAATGTCAGAAATAAATTTCGATGATATAGAGGTATTAACTATGTCTCAATTTTCACCTAACTTATCAAACAGGAAAATTAAAGCATTCTAAATGAATTCAATCTTTTATTGCTCAAATATCAGAACACATCAGTTCTTTTTAGGCAAACTTTTTCTAAGAAAGTGACTCTCATCAGCCACGTACCTCAAATAACTGACTCCACACTAATCTAGTGTTTCGGGGGTGTGATATTTACGAGGTTTAAGATTTTGATAGTTTATTAATTAGCTGCAAATCCGCAATCATCCCACGTGGAATTTTGTCTGCCACCAATTTTGTGGCGATCTCGTAAACATCATACCATGTATCTGTAAGGTGGAAGTGACGCACAATATTTCTTTTTTTTTTTGCCTAGTAATTAAGATGATTTTCCTTTAAAATTTACTGTAACTGACAGAACTATTACTATAGAGTCAATATATCCCGCAACCTTCTCGGACGCCATCTCTAAATTTGTAGATCACAAAGACGTTTTAATAGTACTGGGGGTAAGATAAAGCGTCGGTGTAACCGAAACGTAAAAAAAATATCAATCAGATAAGAACGGAAAATGGATACGTAAAAAAAGAAAGATTTTTGAACCGATAAAAAAAATCCAGTCGGATTTTGGTGAGTCGGTCGCGTTACCGCAAAAAAACAATTTTTTAAGGATGGCTTAATAGCGAGCGCAGCGAGTGTCGCGAAGAGAAAATTCAGACTACTGCACATTCATTCGATAGAATTTTTTGACCCAGTAATTTGGACCCACAATGCATCACTTGTTAAAGTACGTTCTCGCGGGAATAGCAGCAAAAGTTCAACTTAAAGTAAACATGCCCTGATTTAATTGGATAAATGTTGAAGATAAATAGTAAACGAAATTAACGTTCTTCATTTACTTTCAGCACTGTTCAGGCTTCTTTTTGGAAATATAACTTACATACAACGTCATTTGATGTCAGAGTCTAGACGTACCAAATGTCATGTGCAGTTTGACGAGCCCGATCTAAATTATAACAAAATAAATATCTGCGCTCGCCATAACGGTCGCACCGTCAACATATTACAATATAGGTATTTGCACTCATCCTAACAGCCATGCCATTAATGTATTAAACTTTAATCAACCTGGTCAATCAGGGACCTATAAGGAACATATATATTGACAATATGCATCCCTGGTTCAAGTAAACATGTCATGTTTATTTTTAAGACAACCCCACTTGGACTATAGTAGATTTCATTTCACAAAAATCTAATCCTTATTTCGCCCAAAATTAGATGTTAAATTGTATGCATATAGTTAGTATGCAGCATGAAAGTCCATGAACGTAGACTATTTGCATTGGGTCTTACCTAGAGCAACTTCACAAGCTTTTTTCAGCTGTGAATGATATGACTTTTTGATCTCCTTGTCACTAAGTATTTTCTCTAATGCACGGGTTAGGAACATATCGTGTGGCTTGGTGCCGGCTGTCATTCTTACATTAAAACATCTGACCACATTAAAGCATGTCAAATTCTATGAAATTAAACAGGTATGTTGTACCCGGTTCCTCCTTCGTCATATTTCTGTCCACCATGACAGCTGTGATCACGTGGTCATGTTTTCGGGTGGTACAGACTTGCTTATAAAAAATATCGTTGCGGCGTTTACATATTGTAGATTTTCAAGATTTCATTTTTTATATTGATAGTCGATAAATATTTTTATTTCTTTGTTCTAGAAGATTACACGACGCATTTACACCGTGGACTATTTACTGCGTTCCTACTTTGCCTATAGGTGGCGCTTTTTTTTAATCATTAGCCAGAATGGACTCGAAAAATGCCCTGAAAACCTGGGAGTTAAGTAATAACGTTGAAAATGTCAGTATTGACGAAATATACAGATATGACAAGAAACAACAACAGGATATTCTGACGGCCAAACCATGGGAGAAAGAGTAAGAAAAGTCCTTTCAGTTTTAATAACATTTTTATTTTTATATCCCATTTCAAGAGATGACAGGATGTCAAAAAATGAAAAATGGAGAAAAAATAACCTAAGATGTATTTCATGAGACAAATTGAATTTGCATTTTGAATAAAAGCTATAGTTGACGGATGTTTCATGGGCATTTAAACCTAGTTACATCTTAAACCAGTGTCACACTGGCTTAAATTATCTTTCTGGATCATCTGCTCCCCTCTTAGACTTGATCTGCTGTACTTTTAAATCTTCAAAATTGCATATACATACTATATTTATATCATAATTAAATTATGCTGATGCAGTGTTTGAAATAACCATGCACCCGACCACCAGAGATGCACATGTAACGGGAGAGGAGAAAATGCAGCGGACCACACTGTGTTTCGAACCAGGGCCCCATGAAACTCCAGTCAGGTGCTCTACCAACTGAGCTATCTGGCCACTGGCAATCAAACCCGGCTGACCGCCACACCCAAATTTTGTTAAGATTTGCATGTATTGATGCCCGGCTGGACGTGTAAAAAATTTTCATCAATTAAAATTCATATATGCTAAAATCTCTCAAATCAACTGATTTTACTGGTTGCAAAGTGTAACAAGCAAACGGGTAGAATTTGTCTGCTTATAGGTACTGGATTATATTGCTAAAATCTCTCAAATCAACTAATATTACTCACTGCAAAGTGTAACAAGCATACGGGTAGAATTTGTCAGCTCATAGGTACTGGATCAAAGATAGTGAGCTGGTACCATTCAAATTAATGCATGAGTGCAGATAATTATTCAGTTTTGTTTTCAAATTGAAATCATTTTTTATAAATAGAAAGACTATGCACTAGGCATAACTTTTTATTATGGGTTCATAGCCAATTTTTCATTTCTCTCAACTTGCCATATTAACGAAGATTCTTTTCTCTCAGTTTACTCTTGATACAATTTCTTCAATGAAGGAAAATTTTTCTGTGTCTGACTCTATGGTACCTTGTGCTACTGACTATAATCTTCCTTGTCAAAAAAGAATGCTTCCTAATTTTAGCAAAAAGTCTGTTGGTATTTTCAAAATTTATTCAAATAAATGCAGCAACTGGCCTTTGTAGTTTTTTCCCTTTTCAAAAACACTTTCATTTCGATCGCAAGCTCAAAATCACAGGGTACCAAAGTTAGCAACCTTGGCATGATCACAGGTTGCCCTCGTCCAAATAAAATATCAAATGAAACAAAATCAACGTGCAATTGTTTAAAAAAAAATAACAGAATTGCTTGTATAAATTAAAATATAATGTAAAGACATTTTTTTAAGTGTCTTCCATTATTTTATCAAACAAAAATAAAGGATGATTGAATCAGACATGCAGAATGCTAAAGTTTGTAATTATTTTCACATACCATGAAACCTTACACAAATGGGTTCAAATAATGAATTGACAGGTGTGATATTCTTTAAGCTTAGCAGCAGAAAACAATAAGTTCTATATAAAGACATGACTTAAACTATATCCACTGGGTAACTAACCACTGGTCAAATTTTTTTCAAAATAAAATTATTTCAAAATTAGTACACAATGCATTACACTTGTCCAGTTGTCAACCAAAAAAAAATGGCTACCATGGTAAATATCAAATAAGTAAATAGTGAGAGGTTTTAACGTTACAACCGTATGTGGAGAAGTGGAAAATGAGGAATGCACAATGTGGGTGCTTTGCTTAAAATTTTGCAGTAATAATGTAAACACACTGGAATTGCCATAGGATTAGCACCACAGGTAAGATGGATAGGAAAGATCAAGAAACCTAGACTTCGTTAAACTGTTAAACATTAGATACAGAAAATATTTTAAAGACAATACCAGCTACTAAAGACTTGGCTATACTTACGAGGCAAATACATCAATTTGTATTGTTTCATACTTAAATAAAAACTTATTGAAGTCAGGACACCTTTACTGTTTACACGATGTAAACGTCGTCTGCTATTATTCGAGGAAATTCGCACTTGTTGAATTATTGCTTTTATACATACCTTGACAGAAAGATCTCAGTTCAGTGGTTTGTCAAATATTTCCAAACAACAACTTTCAGCACATTTATGCAATCCTGCATTACAATGTACTAACACTGTCTGAAAGTGGGTAGCATTTTTTTTTATTACCGAAAGGTCAGAATATACAAGTAGATATAGCGAGTTCGTCACTAATGCAATTCGCTCCGTACAATTAAATTTTGCGGTGTAACTAAAAATGCACTATCCCAAGTGTATTCTATAAATACATAACCTTTTAATATTAGCATCAATATATGTAGAAATTAGACCCAAAAAAACTCTATGTGGATATCAATAGCATTTGCATCGGAAGCATTTTGAAAGTGGAGTGGCTAATTGAATGTGGGTTGGGGTGGGGGGTGGGGCTAAACTAACCAAAAAAGGTAACCCCAATTTGTTCAATGCCTTTATAAAGTCTATCTTTGCAAAAAAAAAAAAAAGAAATCCCGATGCCTATGGATAGATATTAAAAATTTAATGCTAGATTTATTTTGAATAAATATTTTAATTCACTGTATCTCACGAGACCATGCCAAAATGATAATAAAATCAAAGGAAATGGTAGGCATTTTATTTAATGCAGCAGTCAACAAGAAAAGTGTTTAATAAAATAGGCAGTTTTGAAATTACTAATATTATTTTGAAATACAAAAACAAATAAATAATACAAGATATTTTTTTTAAAAAAGGGTGGGGGGGGTAGAGGACCAGAGGGGGGTGTGTGTGTGTGTATGTATGTGTGTTGGTTGGGGGGGGAGGGAGGGGGGATGTCAATTCTCAATGTGATTTTAAATATTGATGTATGTTAACCAAAGTAACAATTTATTTATATCCATTAATAGACCTATAACATGCAAATGACCAACAAATTTATTCATTTATAATTGTTATATAAAATATACCGATAATAATCATTTATTTTTCAGCAAGGGAAGGCCGCTTGATAAGATCCTTTGTAATGCTGCAGATTAATCCTTGAAAGAACCCATTTAAAACATTCCTGCTGACGATGAAGACATAAAAACCTATCATATTCCTGACTGGTTTTACAAAACCATGTCAACTTGACTTTATATTACTGCATATGTCTTTTTAAATATTCATCAACATTAAATTCTTGGTTACAATATCTATAAGCCTTTGTTTCCTATGTTATCTCCCAAAATTTACAACAAATCATAATTTTTAGTCATATTTAGTACATGTTTCACATCTCGAACAAAGGATTTTTGCTGCTACCAAATCACTTGGTACACCCCAAGCCCAAGCTTCATGGTTGGGCGACTCTGCTATTGTGTGCATAATTATCAAATCATTAGCATTTTTTCATGGACACATAATGTATGTGAATAATTTGTTTTCCAAAAAATACATAAATTAGTACAGGAAGGGAGACTGTCTTTCTTCCTGAGCCAAAATAAAAAAAGCCAAAAGTAAAAGAGAAATTTAAGAAATGGTTAATTTTGATTGGATATTTAGGATTTACCATTTACAGTCACCCTGGAACAATAAAATTTTACGGCTATTTGATTTATTCTGATTGTCAGATATAGACTGATTGGGAAACAGCAAAAAGTCTAAATACACAAATGTTACCGCCCTAACCAGTAGTGTACAGTTCCAGGAACCTTTTGTGGGCTCAATACCACCAAAAACAAATGTTTAATAATGTCCACAAAAATAAAATGTCATTCCATATACATACTGCCTTTACAGAGTGCACAGAACCTGTATGTGTTTGTTACCATATACATGTATAAAATATGGGCCTGCAAAATTACAACAGTAGAATTTTAAAGTGAAACACACAAAGATTTGTAATTAAATGGACAGAGACACAAAGAGAAATAATTTATTTATAGCTTACTGATTATTACAGCCATACCTTGTTATCTTAAAATCTCAGGTACTCGGGAAAAGATTACCAACAAATTTTTAAGAGACTTACCCACCTGTGGAATGAATTTGCCAATATTTAACCACTGGATAGCAAAGTTAAGCAAAGTTAATCAGAAAGTTGTAGGGGGAAATGCAAGATGTTACAATGAGAAAATTTATAAAAATTGACATATTTTATATCTCAAATAAAAATTACTTTGATGTAGCCCTGAAGAATATTCAAAACATTGGTTTTGTTTCAAGGCCTAATGAAGTTTATTTTAAAATATTAAACATCATTATATACTTTATATACTGTACTAGTATATGAGTAAAATGCAGTAAATCAAACTAAAGGTCAAAACATTTATATATAAACAAAATTATACACTGCAAAAATTTTGCTGAAAAGCAAAATCTGCATTGATTTGAACATTGGGGAGTAAATACACTTTGGGGTAAAAAATCTGGATCTCTGCTTGTAAAAGACAATTATTTTTTTAGGGCTAGTACATTTTTGGCAGGGCAGACAACTCTCACTAGCAAACTGCCCTGCATGTCTAGCTAATTTTAGTATGTTTCAAAACACTGGTTGATGTGTAGGGGTTAGTGCAGGAAGGTGAATAATTAAAAATTTGGCCATCAAAGTGGCTAAGGTGGTAGAGCACTGCTGCATGGTTAGAATAATCTGAGTCTCTGAACAAGCCCTTACCAAAGTTAGTATGCCTCCCATATACAATGCAAACAGAATTGCTCAGATTTTTGTACTAAAGGAATTGTTAAATTACACATGTAATTATAACAAATGCATGTGCAAGGCATATAAAGACATGACTTAAACTAATGTAACATTTTTTTTTTATCATTTCAAAATTTACACAACATAATTCATACATGAATACATTAGAACTTGTAATGTGAGCCATCTGCAAACATAATCATTAAAGACCAAGACATAACTTGTTTGTCATTTACTTATCTACTAGACAAACAGAACTGAGAAACCTGGTGCTCTCAAGATGTATTTTATAAGCTCTGAATCAGTAAACCTAGAGACTTCTTAATTGTACATGTATCAATTGCTGTTTTTCTTTTGAACAGTCCACATTACTTCAAGCACATTAAAGTCAGTGCTCTTGCCCTTCTGAAGATGGTGATGCACTCAAGATCAGGTGGAAATCTAGAAGTGATGGGGCTATTACTGGGTAAAGTTGACGGTAATACAATGATTGTGATGGACAGTTTTGCCTTACCTGTGGAAGGGACGGAGACCAGGGTCAATGCCCAGGCTCAGGCGTATGAATACATGGCCGCTTACACTGAGGCAGCAAAACAAGTAGGTCACATCTCTGATATATCCTTTTTAAAAATATCTATTCATGATTTTAGGTCTTTTGAAATGAATTTGACATTCAAGCCTGACCAGTTTTTGCTCTTTGTGCTAAATCTTTTGTATTTTTTTTTTGCATAAATGGTAACTTTTAGGTCGGGAGATATATTATTGGTTGGTACCACAGTCACCCTGGTTACGGCTGCTGGTTGTCAGGGATAGACGTCAGTACACAAATGTTAAACCAGCAGTTCCAGGAACCTTTTGTGGCTATTGTTGTGAGTCATTTATACAAATTTTGCACAATTTCTGAGGTTTGAACAGAACTGATGTGTTTCTTTCCATATATAAAAGATCTATTAGAATATAACATTGTCACAGAACAGAGTATTCCAAAGAATTTTTTTTTACATAACTGTATATATAGCTTACTGATTATTACAGCCATAGCTTGTTATCTTAATATCAGCAATACTGAGATTAAACTTCAAGATATCCATGAATATGACAGTCTGACTAAATTTAAGCCACCCCATACTATTTCACTTCGAACAAAGTGAAATACATGCAGTAGGGTCTGGCTTTAGTCAGACTGTGAATTAGGAGGGTAAAAAAAGAAAGACAATTTATTAAAATTGCTAAATTACTTTGAAATATCCCTGGTATTTCAATAAAGTTCAGCTATATACTGTTGTAGTATATGAATAAAATGCAGTAAACCTAGTTATTTTTAATATTTACAGGTAGATCCAGTGAGAACAATATCTGCAGGAAAGGTTGGTCTTATCCCAAGGTGAAAAAATTGTTATATAGATGAACATCCAGGCTTCTGTGCAAATGTTAAAATAATAATAAAGGCAGATGATGTTTATTTTCATATTTATTTCATTTTATTTTGTATTAACAGGGCTTCAAACCCCCAGATGAGGGTCCATCAGAATACCAGTCTATACCTCTAAATAAGATAGAAGATTTTGGAGTTCATTGTAAACAGTAAGTAATTTGTCTGTGCTTAAATTTTCTTAAATTAAAGTATCAGAATGATGGGTAGGGCACTACAAGAGAATTTAATTTATGTCCATGCGTATATTTCATGGGAATTTATTAAATGAAATTGGAACACAATTTTTCCATTGAAATATATGTATAACTAAATGAATCTTTTTAAACAGTTTTTCCATTCAATTTATTTTCTGTCTATACATTATAATGGATTAGTCAATATACAATTTCTAATAAAGTGTATTTATTTTTCAGCTATTACAGCTTAGATATGTCCTACTTCAAGTCCGTCGCAGACAGAAAATTATTGGAATCTCTGTGGAATAAATACTGGGTTAACACACTCAGTTCTTCCAGTCTATTAACAGTGGGTCTATTTTACTTTTTAAAATATAACTTCTGAGATAAACTTGTCCCCCTTATTTTTAACTTTTGATATTGGTATTATCAATAATTGCAGAAATATGTTTGGCAGGTAGGTCTATTATCATATGAAACACCTTTTTCAATAACTTTTAATCATAAAATGCTTTACAAATAGGTCAGCTTTTTACACTTTTGTTGTAAAATGAAGGAATCAAATGACAGGGAAAGAATATGTCTTTGCATTAAAAACAAAATTTGTCTAATTATTGTTTAGAACCTCCATGTCTATATTTTGTTGAAGAGTTTGATTCTTTGTTTAGAACGCAGACTACACAACAGGTCAGATTTTTGACCTGGCAGACAAACTAGAGCAGTCAGAGGTCCAGCTGTGTAGAGGGGGGTTTATGTTGGGAATGGACACACATGAAAAGAAATCCGAGGATAAACTCGCCAAAGCTACTAAAGATGGGTATGATATTTTTCTTACAGACAACAGAAAATGTACCATTGATGTACATGTAATGGAAAATGTATAATGTTCAGAAAAAAAATTGAAATCTGGTTCAAAGTCAAAACTTTAAGCCAGGTTAAGAAAACATAGGTCATGGTTGATTAACTTTGTCATTTTGTCTTTCTGATCAATTTCATTTTAGATGGTACATGTATCTCAAAAGTATTGCAATGAAATTAAATAACTCCATGTGACTTGGATGATTTTGATGTCCAAAGTTCAAGATTATTGAAAGAGCACATTTTGGATTACAAATGCTATTTGAAAATAACTCTGGGTTTTCAATGAAATTTATAGCACAAATTCCTTATGACTCTACTTGACTAATACAACATAAGGTCAAAAGTTCTAGGTCAAAAGTTTGAATACATGTATGTATTGCAAGTAAAAAGCTAAAGATGATAGATGCATTTCTCATGGAGTCTTTAAAGTGGCAATACTGCTGCAAATCGTGTGCTTTTTCATTCAAATTTACCCAATATATCATTCAGGAATAAGATAAAAAATTGAAGTAAGCATTTGAGAAAAATAAATATTCTCTCCTCATACAAAATTAACGTAATTAGAATCTGCCGGAAAATCAAGGATCGTACAACTTAGATCTGTTTACTTGTACCACGTGAATTCTAAAACGGCATGTGCATACAATGTAGGGTTTACAATTATAATGGAATATTAAGTAAAAGCAATTCTGATAATGAAAATATCTTAACTCTCCGGTAAATTAATAATAGTTAGTCTGCATTCAGACGAATTTAACATGATTTAGTACAAATGTTGACGTTTTGTGTATTGGGGTGCAGGAAAGGGAAATCCATAAAATCATACGTCATCGCGGCAAAATGTCAAACAAAATATCTTTCTGCTGTTCCAATATAATTTGCACTTCAAATGGCAATGATTTTTATATGTCATAAGTGCATTTTTACGTTGAATTTACACCCATTTTTTGTTCTTTGAAAGCCATGGAGATATGAGAAATGATAGCATTTATCAACAAACCTGTAGGGTAGAACCTGCGCGAGCCCCACGTGAATGTCGCTGAGATCCCGTTTCGTCTTCATCCAACGATTATATTAATCTCCCAACTAAATTTTTGTCAGGAAAGTTGCTTTTTAATTTCAAGCCTATTTTTAGCTCTACTGGTCAGAGACCAGAAGAGCTTATGCGATAGTAATGCGTCCGGCGTCCGTCCGTCTGTCTGTCTGTCTGTCCGTCTGTCTGTCCGTCTGTCTGTAAACAATTTTTCAAAACGCTACTCCTCCTACAATTTTTTCTGATTTCAATATTACTTGGCACACAAGTAGACTACATTAAGATACATAGAATAGTGCATCGGTTTTTGATTTCGATGAACGGTGTTGCCATGGTTACTAAAAATAGAATTTTTTGTGAAATTCTTTAAAAATGCTACTCCTTCTACAGTTTTGGTCTGATTTCAATATAACTTGGCACACAAGTAGACTACACTAAGAAACATAGAATAGTGCATCGGTTTTTGATTTCGATGAACGATGTTGCCATGGTTACTAAAAATAGAATTTTCTGTGAAATTCCTTTAAAACGCTACTCCTTCTACAGTTTCGGTCTGATTTCAATATAACTTGGCACACAAGTAGACAACACTAAGATACGTAGAATAGTGCATCGTTTTTTGATTTCGATAAACGGTGTTGCCATGGTTACTAAAAATAGAATTTTCTGTGAAATTCCTTTAAAACGCTACTCCTTCTACAGTTTTGGTCTGATTTCAATATAACTTGGCACACAAGTAGACTACACTAAGATACATAGAATAGTGCATTGGTTTCTGATTTCGATGAACGGTGTTGCCATGGTTACTAAAAATAGAATTTTCTGTGAAATTCCTTAAAAACGCTACTCCTTCTACAGTTTTGGTCTGATTTCAATATAACTTGGCACACAAGTAGACTACACTAAGATACATAGAATAGTGCATCGGTTTTTGATTTCGATGAACGGTGTTGCCATGGTTACTAAAGATAGAATTTTCTGTGAAATTCTTTAAAAATGCTACTCCTTCTACAGTTTTGGTCTGATTTCAATATAACTTGGCACACATGTAGACTACACTAAGAAACATAGAATAGTGCATCGGTTTTTGATTTCGATGAACGATGTTGCCATGGTTACTAAAAATAGAATTTTCTGTGAAATTCCTTTAAAACGCCACTCCCTCTACAGATTTGGTCTGATTTCAATATAACTTGGCACACAAGTAGAATACACTAAGATACATAGAATAGTGCATCGTTTTTTGATTTCGATGAACGGTGTTGCCATGGTTACTAAAAATAGAATTTTCTGTGAAATTCCTTTAAAACGCTACTCCTTCTACAGTTTTGGTCTGATTTCAATATAACTTGGCACACAAGTAGACTACACTAAATACATAGAATAGTGCATCGGTTTCTGATTTCGATTAACGGTATTACCATGGTTACTAAAAATAGAATTTTCTGTGAAATTCCTTAAAAACGCTACTCCTTCTATAGTTCTAGTTTGATTTCAAAATAAGTTGGCACACAAGTAGACTACGCAAAGATACATAAAAAAGTGCAATGGTTTTTGATAAGTACAAACCAGTAGAGCTACAGTCTCGACAGAGACTTCTGGTTGGTTTTGTTCTTCGTTTTGGTCGACTTTGTGAATGAAGCAGGCCTACCAGGCTTCCCTCTCTTACCATGCTGTTTTGTTTATGAAAACTATACGCATGCGTGTATGGCATGGAATGTGGAACCTCGAACATGTTGCGATGTATATATTTATGGACCATAAATAATTATTAATTTTAATGAAATAATTAGAATTATCTACTTATGAAATTTGTAATTTTCTGAAAGTGTATTCATTTATGAGCATGAAAAAAATTCCAAATCCTATCGGAAAATTTTAACAAGTCTGTTTTTGAAGAGATGCGCCATATTGTCACTTTAAAATGAAACATAAATTGTTAACTTTTTATGCTTTAAAAAGATCCAAGTATTGATTTTGAGGTCAAAAGATGAAAGTTCAAGGACAAATTCATATTTACTCCAGTTTCCATATTTCTTAAAATGCATTGTACCTGGTACTTGAAGCATTTTTTGCCTAAAAATAAATATACATGCAGTTCTGTAGATGTACAAAGAACTTATAATACATAAATTTATCACAAAAGATCAAGACTTCTCACAAGTCTCAGATAAGGAGAAAAATCCAGGAAATCATAGTAAATAGTGATAAATGTGCCCCTCCCCCTCTACGCACCTTAGTACATGTACTAATAAATCCTGTGTGTTTGATACTGATGTTCAGTCACATTTAAGAAATGACTCTAATTCTTGGCCAAATTATCGAGTATAATATGGTTTGGGTCAGTTTACGCTTTATAATCCGCGAAGCGGATTATAAAAAAGCGTAAACTGACCCAAACCATATTATACTCGATAATTTGGCCAAGAATTAGAGTCATTCCTTATAATTTAATTTTAAAATAATTATTCAACTGGGGATGTAAAATTGTGTTGTTTTTATGAGTTCAAATTTACCGCGCAATAATACAACCGTAGTAACGGAAGTGATGGGAAGCAAGGGGAGGTAAAAACTGATACATAGATCTAGCAGCCATGATGCTTGTTTACATGAGGTAAGATCGAGTAACTGTTTGAAATTAACAGCCTGTCTCTGAGAAAAACATGCAAAATCTGAAAAAATGTCCAAAAGGGTGTGTAGAGCTTTTCATCTTGTCATATATTTTTAAGATCTAGGTTGTATTAGGATATAAAAAATAAATTGTAAAAGTGTGTCACATGCATCTATTTTTAGTAACAACCCAATTTCTATATTTAGCAATAATTGGCATTATATAGAAGGTAAAAATAGGAAAGTTTGAGGCTTGATAAAGTCACTGCATAATTATTTTAAATACAGTATTTTATTATTTCATAAATACATATATGTCAAAAATTACAAATACCTATTTTCCATAATGATTACAACTATCTGCAGTCTATACTGAAGCCATATCTTAGGCGAAATTTGGAAATTCAGAATTATTATGGATATTTAGTACAGTGGTACAGCGGTGGGGGATAAAATAATTTGATCAAATAAAGTTTTTTATAATAATTGATTTATGTTCTATCAAATATAAAAAATTCACCCTTGGCTATTTAGTGCAGATATATTTTATAAATTGTTGAAATGATGACCTAAGCATGTTAGCAAAGCTCTCATTTTGTACCACAGAATTAATCAAATACTATTAATATGGATTCATTTGATGACCAATAAACATATTTTAGTCTGAATTTATATTTAGAAAGGCTGTAAAAATTTATAAGTTGATAAAACTTAAAATTACTCCAAAAATGATCAAAGAAAATAAGATGACAAGAATGAGTAAGTGTGCATAAGAGTTATCTCCCGTTGTGGAAGTCTTCAAGTGAAAAAGGCGGAAATGACATTCCAATGTGTCAGGGTCGCCAAGAGGACAATGCAACTTCAGAGATTTTTTATACATTTCGTGCCGTGTATGTCAAGTATTTTATTTGTATGACTGTATTAAGGATCCATCACACTGTTTGCACTTCTTTAAGGCTCCGACCGAGATGCTATAGTATCAGGTTGTATGGGAAAAAGTTATGGACCGACTGGATGATTGATTGTGAAATGTGGATTTTTCTCATGACCATGTTGACCATGTATACAGTGGTATATTTTAAGTTATGAATCTACCCAAGACATACGGATAACGTGGGGGGGGGGGGTTAATGGTTAAAATGGCGAAGAAGAATAACAAGCTTCTGCTACCTTGAAGTTGACGAGAAACTGAAGGATCTGACCATGTTGATAGGTAGGCAAATATCTTATCTCTACTTCCAGCAATATGAGCTGCATTTTTAAGAATTTTATTTTGCCATAACTATTATATAATGTGTTATAATGTTAGATTTGTATTTAAATTAAAACCTGTATGCTCAGCAAGACTAAAATGAAGTATTAAAGTGTTTTAGAAGAAAGACTTCTGTACAAGCAAATTAAAATTATTTAGAAATCAATATTGTACAGGACAACGATAATGCAATCTTGCTTCAATCATAGGTTATAAAAAAGTTTTCATTGCAATGCGGCAAATATTAACAACAGAAAATTATAAATATTTTTTCACTGTTCATGCTGTTCTTGAAATAATTCTGCAATAAAAAAATTGGACATCCAAGTTGCAGCTCCTATTTATTTCAATATCTACTGTGACCTATATAGAATTTGTAATAAAAATTTAGATAATGAATGAAAATGGACTAGGAACAGTCATGTTTATTGTTTGATATGTCATACATGTAAACTTTTGTAAAGAAATTAAGAAAGTTCAAACAGTTGTTAAGAGATGGAGTAAAAATTATAACTTCTCTAATTAAGAAATATTCAACATTCAACTGCACATATGCTTTGATTCGCATACATGTAATTTATGCTTTTGAATTGTGGTATTGTGCAAGTAGTGAAATAGTTTGCTACTCAAAATAAGTCTAAACTAAAGAGTATATGTAGAAGTACCAGGTATTCAAAGAAGGAAAGGTTTTTTTATCCAAATATTATCACACATATTTTTCTATCATATTTACTTTAACAATTTTTGCAAAATTGATATTTTAGAAAGGTAATGGGTCATGATAATATGAACTCATAACAGAAAGTTTATACAGAACATTTAAGCATGCACAATATGATATTTAATTAGTATACCATATGTTGGAGAGGTCCAAATTATTCAAATTGTATAACAAACCTGGGTAAAGTTATAAATAATTTACTATTAACTTTCACTTCTTGTAGCAACATTTGTCAACATGCAGAGGATTTTTTTGGACCCCAATACATTAAAAGACAAGTGTCCTGATCCAGATGTAAATGGTAAGAATTGTTATCTGAAAAAAATATTTTAGAAGTCTTATATGAAAAAAAAACAATTATTATAATAGTCAAATGCTCTTTAATAGAGCTATTCAGCATGTTCAATGACTCAGTTTTGTCACAATGATAAAGCCAGTGATTTCTTACTTTGTTTGGTACATATTTGCTATTCTCTTGATCACACTAATTTAATTATCTACAGATCAAGTCTAAGTGTAAATGTGAATGATTTACCGTAAAACGGGGCCACAATGACCGACCAAAGTTTTACATAGAAATGTATAGGAAAATTCTTAAAAATTCTTCTTCTCAAGAATAACAAAGCCATGAATAATCATATTTAGATGGAAGCATCCTCAGGTAGTGTAGATTCAAATTTTTTTTCAAATCATGACCCCAGGGGATAGGACAGGGCCACAATGGCCGACCAAAGTTTTACATAGAAATATATAGGACAATTCTTTAAGAATCTTTTTAAGAATCGCAAAGCCATGATTGGTCATACATGTATTTATATGGAAGCATTCTCGGGTAGTGTTGATTCAAGTTTGTGCAATTACCTCTCGCCTTTAAGGAATGATTGGGACTACTTTTAGGTTTAAACTTTTCAATAATAAATTAATTTCTGCTTTTATGCTAGCCACGGTGCTCAGATGAGCGATGTGGCCCATGGGCCTCTTGTTTTAATTATAAACGTAATATTCTTAAAATCAGTGTTGATGACAGCAATAATTTTGTCATTATTTTCTTACTTAGTCCTTTCCAATGATCCAACTTCACTTTTCCTCCATTTAGCAGCTACTTATGCATGTACAAAAAATTAGTCTTTATGTCGTCATATTTTACTGATATATACTCAAAGAAGGAGGACATATTTCTTTTCATTTTATGGTGCATTTTGTTTCATAGGTTATGCAGTTTTTCCAAGAAAGCAGGAACAATGGAGCAGAACTGAAAACTCATTTCAATAAAACCATGATCTGACTGATCAAGTGAAAGATGATACCAGTTGTGAAAGTTGTCAAAACACTACAGCAAGCAAAGAGAGTAGTAATCATCAATTCATGTAACTCCTGTTAATATTCATCACATCAAAAAGAATGTTCAATTTTGAAATTTGAAAAATATTTGGCAGTTGGAAATCTCACTTATTTTACAAATTCAAGATCAAGTAAGAACATCACAGCAAATTTGTATGCTACTAAAATGTTCAAAGCATTAGAGAGTTTCACAATTTACTGATACAAACTGCAAAGTGTCCTATCAGGAACAGGCATTGGTGGAGTTCAGTAAGAGCCAACAGGAAAATGAATTGGTTTGGCTTCAAAATCCAGAAAATGATTCTCCCAGAAAGTGAACAATTACTTGTCTATGATACGTGAAGATTGTTAGAGAGCAGTAAATGTCCAGATTGTGTTTTATGGCAGAAGAAGAAAGTAATGAGTGCAAATTTTGAAATTTTATAAACAAAATAAATGGCTAAGTAGCTCCAAAAAAGGAGGATGTATTGTGTCACATTCATCAAAAAAAAAATTTTCAAGTCATTTCACCTTCCCCCAGTAAAAAGAACTTGTCTGAAATATCTCAATGTTTGTATCGATGATGTTGAAAAATTGCAGAAATTGTTTGTACTTTAACACTCAAATGAATATGTTGATCAAATGACTAGTATGATGAATAATGTGTTCACTTGGTTCACTTGTGTAAATATTGACCAAGTATGTATACATGCATTAAATGTAATTATTATTTTCTTTATTGTTTCAACTATCTGATTGGCTCAAACTGGATCATATGATCAAGTATAAAAAGTGTTATTATTTTTCTTTATTATTCCAAATATCTGATTGGCTCAAACTGGATCACATGGTCAAGTATAAAAAGTGTTACAGACTGGATGTTTGTATTTTAAAATTTATAAACCTGCTGTTTCTAAAATTGGAAATGTTCTTTTGTGAAGGAACAATAGTGCTGACATCACAAAAGTCTTTATAAACTGGATGTTTCTAAAAACAGATACTGCAGCTGGTTTTCATTACTGTGACATCATAATGCAATGACATAACAATGCCTTGTATGAGAAGGCTCTGAATATTATAAAGAAGGATTTTAAGACTTTTCTTATTAACTGATAAAAAATAATAAAACAATTGTAGCCTTTTGATTCGGTACAATCCCTCGATATATAGACCTTAGAGAAAGCATATCGACCTCGCACTTCGTGCTCGGTCGATATACTTTCTCTAAGGTTTATATATCTAGGGATTGACCTCATCAAAAGGCTATAATTGTATAATAAAGGTTTATACTTAAGTTTATCCATTTAGAGGTTTATAAAGAATTCATACCAGTCCCCCCCCCCCCCCCCCTCGGCCTCTTTTTCCATGTATTTTTTAAAATTTAAAGTCATTGAGTATTAAATTGAGAGCTATGTTTGTTTAAATTCTGTAATACAGATAGGAAGAACTCTAGAAAATAATTTTTTTTAGTCTTGGACATGTTTTGAGCTATTTTTTGAGTAGCGCTAACTGTATCCTTGAATTTTTTTTATGTGAAAATTTCACAAACTTTGACTTTCAATATTTTCTAAAGTGTACATTGGCCAAGGGTAATTTTTTCATATTTTGTTAACATAGGTATTATTAACAATAAGCAATAAAATTTACTGGATTAAAACATCCCCCCTTTCAACTAGAATAGTTTCAATTCCACTAAAAATTGTCACTTTTTTCAAATTTTGGAATATTGCCAATTTCATGACCTATTTGCACTAAAACAAAATGAATGTCAATCATTCTGACTATGCATTTAAAAAGAACTAATCTTTATTATTTTACAACAAAACAAAATATTTGAATAATTTTTAAAGTTGCAATTATTTTTCTTCTCAAAATATATCTAAAATGTTAAAAAAATTACCTCAATTTTTGTTGCATAAGAGCTATTTTTAGTAACAGTCCATAAAACATATGTGGGTTGGAGTAGCTAAATAGAAATTTGTCTGATTTCATTTTATGCATAGTAGATTTGGCTCTTAAAATTTGAAGGCAATCGGAGAAACCTGCTTTCGGACTATTTTGCATGCTTTTCTCGGAGACAGGCTGTTAAAGGTACATTCATTAAATCTGGAATTTTCCATGAATCCCAAGGACTGGAAATGGGGGGATTGATGGATACAGATGATTATGCTGGTTGTCAAGGGGGTGTGTCCCCATACCAAACCAGATTATACAAAATGTTATGCGTTCCTTTTTGGAAATCAACCAATGAGAGGCAAGAATACAAGCAAAATTAAATTATTTATTTGTAGATGTAAAACTACAATGGAAGCAATACATGGCCTGATGTCACAAGTGATCAAAGACAGACTTTTTAACCAAGTGCACACTTCTAAATGATACCTTGTCCCTTCGTTGAGTGCTTCCAGTGACGTTGATGATTTACTAAAGGACTTCAATGAACAAGGGAGAATCAAAATGAACCTTATATGTATGTGAATTCTTGTTATATTAAGTGTATATACATGTAATAAAAAATTTGACATATTCTGCGTTTTCCTTGAAGATATTAAATTTTATATAAATATACTTATAGTACAATGAAATTAGAAGTATATGTACTGTAAATCGCTTTATTCACAAGAATTTTATTTTCGTGTAAGTTTGCAAGACCTTTTCCTTGGGAAAATTTCATTCTGGAGTATAGATTATACAGAGCAATAACCAAAACTCATGAAAATGTTGTTTCGCTAATAAAACCCAAACAACAATCTCGTGAATATAAGGTGTCACAAAAATAAAGTGATCTACAGTACATGACTGTATATTTGCTAGATTTATTTCTATATACCACTTTTATGTCAGTTTTACAAAAGGAAAGGACTGATTTGTTGATTAAATGATACTATGAACTAAGAGAAATTAAAATTACAGCATTCTATACTGTACTTAATTAATCTTTATAAACCTTCCATTCCTTTGCTTAAAATTTATACTAGAAAAAAGGAAACACATGGTTGATAGAGTAGTTGTATTTAATTTCATGAGACAGTTGGTCTGACACAATGTAAATATATGCTCAAAATTTTACAACATAAAAAAAAGACAACCATTAAAAAAAAATTACAAACAATTTTTGGAGATCAGTTTTGAAATGGGATCAAAGAATACATCACTAACCATCATCACAATGTTACATGCATGTGTGAATTGAAGAAATTACAATATCAAAATATCAACTGATGAAAAAATACTGATCTACCAAAAGTTTTAAAACAGAAATTTTAGGAAAGTCTGATCCTTCTAAAATATATTAATACAAACATTATAAAATAGACAAAGTTATAAATTTAATAGGTGTTAAATACAGTAAGTTAGCTAAAAAGTTCATTAAATAAGTTTCAAGTAAGTACAAAAGATTAAAAATTTAACAACATTGAACTGTACCCTAGCTATTACACAAATTTATTTCCTTATTAGTTTACCACACTCGTTCTTTTTTTATATATGCACACAAACAACAAAACACACACACACGTACAACTGCTTCCATAATATCACTCAATCCCTTTCGGCAAGAATAAGTTTTCTCTTCTCTTGGCAAGATAAATACACAACTATACTACAGGGAGACAGTTAACAACTTTTTTTACAAGCAACTCTTTCACATGCCTTGTCCACATACAGAGAGATAATCACTCCTTTAATTCACATAAACCCAAAAAGTTGACAGATAAAATTAGTTATACATGTATGTATAGGCCTAATTGTGTCACTTGCTGTGTTTATGTAACTTACATCAAGATATAAAAGGATGGTGATACAAAAACATGCCATTTCTGCCCATCTGATCTTGAGCAACCATCGAAGTTTGGAAACAAATCATATAATAATTATCCTCTATTTATGTGTTGGAATCACTTTGAAAAGGAAATGCAAAAACATAATTGCTTAAGTAAAGAGAAGGTTAAACATCCGGTATCATAGAGAAATGTGTCCACAAAATTCACAGTGGTTAATCAAAGAAGAAAGATGGAGGATGAAATTTTCTTTTGCAAACAATAAAAAGAATGTCTGAATGGTTCCATGAAAAAAGAGTCAAATGATACCATTTAAAGGAACTAATTTTTGGCTTTGACACAAATAACTTGTCATTAAATGATGATCAGACATTTCTGAGATCCTGTTTTGGTTCATAATTCGGGTTCTGATATGCCTGAGATGCTGCTGGTTCACTGAAATGTTCCGTATCAAATGCATTCTTCTCCTTCACTTCCTGTTCCCTCTTCAGCAGGTTTCCTTTCTTGCTTCGCCTGCAATGTTGAACAGAAAATCAAAAGGGTATCCTCCATCTTTTCTTTAATAATTAAATTCAATTACAATTTAAATTTAGTTTGAAATAGACAAAACAACATACTTATACATTAACTTGGCAAATGCACAATGTAAAAACAGACAGATGAAAAGGATATGGCATGTCAGGGAAGTAAATTGATTTTATTTTGCTCAAAATGTTCAGTAGTAATTCTTACCTTCTGATATACACAATGTAACAAACTATCAGGACTATTATGATAAAGGCCAACACACCAACAGCTATGTAAATGGCCAATTTCTTGTCATCCTGCAATTTTATAAACAGAATTTTTATAAAATATTTTTCTCCCATGTCAATCACTTTTTTTTGTCCATTTTTAATTCTTTGTAATTCAAACCCTGATCCTGAAAATGATCTATAGTATACAGCAACAGTGTGTATCTAATCCTTTTATTTTTACAGTATAATTTCAAGTGGAGACGGCTGTACATTTATTTGTATTTACTAGATTTACCTCTTCTGGTGGGGGTACTGGGGCCCTAGAGTACAGACTTTTCCCTGCTGTGTTCAGACTTCTCTCCACGTCGACACGCTTGGGTGACTTTAGGTTCTCCACAGGCTCATCATCAGTTCGCTGGACCGTGTAATCCACAACAGTTATATCATCCCTGTAATGTATGTGAAGAATCATGTGCATTTACAATTCTTTGAATGAATCCCAAATTTTCTGTTGGAAAATATTGGGACCTGTAATATACTTACTCAAAAAGGATGGGGAGGGGAAGGGGGGATGTTGAACAATTGATGAATTATGGGTTTAAAGAGGGTAACCATAAGGGATAAAGAAAGATACAATGGAGATGAATAGGGGATAGAGAGAGACAGTGGGATTACAATAACCCCATGTCCTTACCACAAAAACTGGTTGATACATACCCATTGCTTTTGGTGTTATTTATTTTAACATCTGTCTTGATATGGTTCTTCATTACACCTATTAAAAAAAAAGAAACAACTACATTAAAGTACTGTCAAATAAATTTTTTCACACATCTAATGCCCTGTTCACATGGAGACTTTATTTCAAATTAAACATAAGTTACTGCGAATTAAATTTGAATCACGTTCACTTGAAGAACTTAATGCAAATTAGTTTAATTCGAAGAAATTTACTGTGCATTAAATTACTTCGCAAGAGCTTTGTGTGAACGCTAAGCGAAGCTAATTCAAATCAAATTCTGACACATGCGTAATGGCAAAATTAAGTCAAATGTCACATGTTGTTGGTCAGCTATAGGTGCTTGTGCTATTTTTGAGTGAAAAACTAAAGAAAATGTGTTAATCACTAAAATGTGTGTACAGACACTTTGCCATAATGTCAAATGGATCTTCATCTGCATAAGGTGATGTGATTTGTAAATGACGTCATAATTGCCTTACTGATGCCTGACTGAAGAAGTAAAATTTTAATTTGCATTAGTTTACTTCACATTAGCTGTCATGTGAATGCAGTTTATTTCGTATTAGTTTGATTCGCATTAGTTTACTTTGCATTAATTTACTGTGAATTAAACTCTCCGTGTGAACAGGGCATAAATGTACATGTAGATGTTCACTCAGAGATACTGAACATGACATCAGTAGACTGAAACTTTAAACTATGCATTGATAATCATTCAGAGTTACAATGTAGCAATTAATGGATTCTATCAATATTTGGATTGAAACTAATCACCTTGGTTTTCTTTAGCAAAAGCATCTTTAATGGCATCAGATATCTTTTGTTTTTCACTCTGGTCTGTTTTTCCTTTGAGCTGTAGGGTGCCCGCAAGTTTTGGGGAACATCCACAGGGGGCAGCACCTGCCTGGGTCAGAGGTCGGGTGAGGTCATGACTTGAGGGTGTGTCCACAAAGGATGAGTCAGGTTCATGACCCTCCAGAGCCACTGTGTATTGAACAGGTGTAATCTCCTTGCTGTAAAAATTGTGGATATTTTGTCAGGTTCATAAGCATTAGATACATCAAATTATAATCAGTTATTTATTTTATTCATTGATTGAAGTCTTTCAGTAACTACAAAGTAAATGGCTCTTACTTATCATTGCCAACAAGTTTTGTTTTAATCGTAGCACTCTCTGTGTCTCTCTTCTTTCTGCTTGTTAAACTCCTTATTTTCACTGTGAACTTCTGACCATCTATACCTAAATTTTTGAATGCATCTTACTTAGCTTGAATATAAAGTGTCAACAACTCAAGACTACTGCAATAATATTAAATACATGTAATTAATATGAAATATTCTCTGAGTCTTAAACAATTAAGATAATCATGGAATCAGTGTCTGATTTAATTCTTTAGACTTTTTTTTTTTTTAATTTAGCACTGAAGGAAAATAAAATCTAAAATTTCTCTGAAAGACAAAGACTAGTTCTAATAAGAAATGAATTTACCTGGATTCTTGCTTGTCCATACAGATTTGAGGGCAGTCTGAACTTGAGTGACTTTTATGGAAGTCTGCGACCCCAGCAGGTACTCTTTCCTAGCCTTCTTAGCATAACATGGACACTGCGCTTTGTTCATTTTCTTGAGTTCTGTCTCAATTTCAGTAAATGATGGCGGTGACACCTTCAGTGATTCTGGGCTGGAGCCATTGATTTTGACAGTGTATGACAATTTTGTGACTTGATTCCAATCGTCACTAACATATCTGTGTGCACTATGTGTATTAACTGTTACTGACCCTATAAAATCAATAAATAAAAACAAAATGTTAAACTCATGGATGCACCCAAAAACTTGAGTATAAGGTTAGTACACATGTATGAAAATATAATTTTCTGTTATGATTCGAAGGCTGCTGTTTGTAAATTGTTTCAAATCAAAGATTCGTCATGAGAATGCAAATTGACCTTGGATCATTAAAATCAATAAATGCTTTTTATTGAGGTTTTAAAACAAAAAATTTACCTGATGTAATTCTCCTTTTCCAGCTGTTTTGGACAGCCATACGTATGTCTGAGAATTCTTTATGATGACCTTGTACAAATATGGTGTACACTTGGTTCTCAGTCTGATTATTCAAAGAGAAATGATCCTTTAAAGAAGAATCATTTTGCAGAAGTTTCATCAGAATTTCTTGAAACTTGGCAGACTGTAATTTTCCTTCCCATGGATCAACCATTTTGTTGCTTGTCTGGATGTAGAAGAATACCCTTGTGACCATAAATCTGAAAAAAAAAAAATCAAATTTCTATACTTTGCTGCTTGAACATAACTTTCAATTTAATTAATTCACATCCACCTATTTTAAAATTATTACCTTCCATCCAAAGTCCTGTATTCTTTAGTGGAGACAATCTGTGTGTTCAAGTGTTCTCCCACTGTTAAAATACTTAATAATTAACCACATGAACCATTCAAGCAAACATGCACATATTAAAATCTTTTTCACAAATACATGTATCTATAAATAGAGATCAAAAAGAAAATGAACTGAAGAGTTGAGTGTGTAACATAAACTTATTTAATAGGCACTGACACAAAAGTGTCAAGATACACAACAATGGAATGTTATAATGAATTGTTTGATACTTATCAATATATCAATATAATATATTTTGTCTTATACAATGTATGTATGCAACATCATTTAGAATATCTGTAATCTAACCTGAGTTGTCTCTCCATGTATCTTTATTCTGTAAAGTTCCATTGATTACGCTTCCTAAATTCTCAATATTCTTGAATGTCATGGAAACGTTCTGGAGGTGAACCACTGACATATAAAACAAGGATCGTGTTCTGTAAGGAATGGAGCGATACACGGTCAGCCTGGAATTCTGGGAAGAGAGAGCTGTCTGGACTTTCTGGCTATCGGGAGAGACTGTGATGTCAGGGGTGATAACTCTGGTTTGGCCAGAAGACTGGTAGGAAATTGTGTATAGGAAGGCAGATACCTGAAGTCTGAAACGATACAGATAATCAGCCCAATCACTTGTTCCAGTTTATTTCTATGAATTGGCTGCACATAATATTACCCACATATTCTGGCATTTAAATCAGTATTCAAAAGACTGCAACTTACCCGAAATTGCCAACAAAAGAGTCCATGCCATTTATCAGATTGACTGTAATATTTTTGGTTGCTATAACAAAATTAAAATACCATTTCAAAAATCCCTATCAAATTCAGATCCTGATTCAGACAAAAAATCAACATTTTCCCTCCCTCATGAACTGTTAGATGAAAAATACATTTAAGAACAACCATGCCATAATCGTAATTTTAAACTTTTAATTTTAAAATTTGAAATTTTAAAAAACTATTTACATATATGTATATATATTGTATGATAATTAAATAGTATTCATAATATATAAATTAATATCATTTATATAAATTTCCTTGAGAGTAACCTTGAGAATGTTGTTGCCAGGTTTGGGTCAAGGCCGTTTCTATGCTGGACCTGTTCAGACTCCACTGAGGGAGAGTAACATAGAGTCGGAAGCAGTCGGAGTATCTCAGGGACGTCTTCCTTGTGTACAGTCTCAGTCCGAGTCCTGTCGTCATGGAAACATATGGGGGAGGTTTGGTCACAGAGGGATACACCAGTTCATTACGTCCAGTGATGCTGACAAAGTAGCTGAACTTTGTCACTGGTTCCCTGCAAACAAAGTTAACAGCTAGAATAGTAAACTCTCTGATTTCTCCAAGTGACGAGTGTAAATATGTAAAACAAGTTGGTCATAAAAACCTTCATTTTCACAAGGTCATATTTACTTTCTTGATTCTGAGCAGTTTAAATACTGTGCTAATTTTAATTTGTAAACAAAGAGATATGAAACATACCCTAGTTCTGACAGAAATTCCTCTCTCAACAACATATTCAAAGTTGCAGGCACTGAAAGAAAATCATTTGCAATAAGCTGAATTATAATAAAGTTGCAGCTCTTTTTTCACATGCAGCTCTACAAGATAAGTATGATGTGCTAGAATTCTCTAATTTTTTGAAACTTTAGTAGAGTTCTTAAATATGTAATGTACCTGAGTGTTTTGACCAATGCTTCTTTAATTCTTCAAAAAATGCTTGCTTTTGTTTAAAATCTAGAATGCCTTCAACTTGTAATGAGAACATTTCATTGTAAGATCCAATGTCAGTGTCTATGACAACATATTTCTGCTTCGTCGGTGACCTGAAGTTAAGATTGGATGTCAATTTTGCGTGGCTTACTCTGAGTTTACGTGATACATCGACAGAAACACCATTAACTGTAGCTACGAAGGTGTATCGCCATAACATTTTTCTGAAAATAAAACAATAAAGCATATTTTTTAATAATTACTTCCCCTTTTAAAAAGTTCAGTTATTTAGTATACATCCTTTAATATCCGAATACCAGGTGACTTCCATATGAATAAGTTTTATTATGCATGTGTATTTGTATTGTATTTCAATCAATAGTTTGTTTTAAGCCATGAAAGTTAAAACATGCATTTAATTTCATTGATCACAAAAATGTATGGTAGGATACTTGGAGGTATGGAGTATCTTAAAATAAAATCTTTGGAGAATTATCTCAAAATCCTTTCCTCCTCTCTTAATTAAATATGACAGAAGAAGGTAATTTTATAAATTTGCAATACCGCATGATGTTATAAGACAGTGAACTGACCCTGAGCTTTTGTCCACTACTCTCTCCTTAGATTTCACTGAGAAGGTCAGAGTTGAGGAAGCATCAATATCTAAAACATAGAAATAAAAAAAACTACCCCGGGTATAGTAAATCGTAAGAAATTCATGTACTGGGACTCATATTCAATGGACTTGCAGTTAAAGATATGTCAACAAGAACACATATCTTTTACCTGTCCAAGTTGTCTTCAGTGTTTTCAGAAGACTTTTCTCAAACTTGGATTGATCAGCCATGAAGACTTGTCTGTTGAGCACAACACTGAACACCTGGGACATACGGAATCCCTTAGTGATATTCAGGACTTTCCTGGACACCCCATTTGGATCCTCCACTTTTATATGTTTGATCAAAGTGTCGTGGGAGGGACCAGTGATCAACTGTCTGTTGATGGAATAGTCCACATTTCTACTCTGAACACGGTACAGCAATCTGAATGCCAGTTCTCTGGAAATGTAGAAAGAAGTGTACATTAATGCTCATTATTTGACTCAATATAGTCAATCAAAGATAAATTCCAAACTGCATGTACTGCTGCAATAATGAATTCATAATCTAGCTACTCACCCATTGCTTCGTAAAATCTTTTCCTGGTTTATAATTGTCACCTTCTCTACTTTTTCACCATCGACTATAAATAACACAAAAAACATATTAACTTATCTTTGTCTGGTAAAGCATCACAAAATAGGATTGGAATAAGAAATGTCTTAACAAGAAGAAATCTAAGTATGATCCAAAATAAACCAAACTTTATTCTACCCACCATTAACAGTAGCATTCCAAGCTCCCTTGAGCTGACTCTCCAGCAGTGTGTAATTCATGACCCTGCCATTTAACTCGAGTCTGTGCAGGTCCGAGTATCGGAACAGGGTGTTATAACCACTGTATTGTCTCGAGAAGTATGTATAGGGGGTGCCTGACTTTTCCAATGTCAGTTGGATACTCAGTGCTAATGGTGAAACAGGATTACGCTGTGTGGCTTTCTGCAGTTTGGAATCTCCATTTAAGGAATACAGAACTCGACTCACTAAAGTTCTAAAGGATGTCAAGAAAAAATATAAAACTTCTCACTGCACCATGTCAAAATTTCTCATGAACAAGCTAGCTTAAATATTTGAAATCTTGTGTTTCTTTTCTTACCCTTGATCAGTGACTAAACTCTCCTGAGATAAAATTTTGACGGTAACATTCTTGAAGTCTACAAAATATACATGTACATACAGTATAAATTGAGTCAATTACAGGTAAAGTCAGCAATTTCTATAAATGATACAACAGATATGATTTAGTGTTGTATTAGATCAGCATTTTAAGTATTTCAAAGGGTCTTCTTTTTTAATATGAAGCATATATTGTAGTTGGAGATTTTGATAAATTTTAAAGCTAAAATGATCATTATTTGACATTAAATGACAACCAAAAGATGGTACAGCATACTTGTTGAATAATCATATCTCCATGCTGCTGCAAGTTGATACTCCATTGTTCTGTAATCCTGTGTAAGAACAGGCTCTGTCAGATCTAAGGTGAACAGCCATTCATATCTGTAAACGTCCTTCTCCAGAACTAGCTGGTAGTTACGAGTGGCTGACAGGAATGCTAACTGCTGTGTAAGGGCCGTCAAGTTAATATTACCCAGCATTCCACTGTCAACCTCAGTCCCATCCACAGACAGGAAGTATAAAATCTTACTTACAAGTCCCCTGTAAGTACAAGGTAGCATACATAGGATTGGTAACTTTAAATAAAGATGTACAAAATAATGGGCAAAAAGTCAGATGGGTACATGAATATACATGTACTCCATATATAATCATACTAGTACTCATTATGACAAGTAATGATTTTATATATTTCACATTGAAAGCAACTTGGTTTTATTCTGAAAATTATATACATTATCACTATGATACTATATAAAAATAAAAATAATGTTTTTAATCATTAAAATCAGTTTTTATAAGTGTGTGATATGAATTACATTGCATTGCACATTAAGTTACCTAAATTCTAATAAATAAATATAATTTTAACATTTTTAATGAAATTTTAAACAATATTTTGGGTTTTCAAGGTTTTGTAGCTGTTAATCAAATTGATTATCTGTTTCTTAATTACATTTATACAAAGGCCGGGACATAAAATATTCGAGATATTCTTTACCGGATGTGATGCCTATATTTAAAAAAATGAATGATTTTCATTGCTAATGCTTGAAATTCTCAAAATAAAGAAAAAGAAGAGTCCACATGCAAAAATACACTAAATAACGACTCATCAGACTCATGTGTTTCAATAGCATAATTGACAGTTTCTTGACCGGAAGTCCAGGAGTTGCTACAAAACACCAGGTTAGAGAAAATTCGACTGCAATATCTGAAAATCATGTATTTAAAAATGCCCAAGAATATTAATTTCGCTCAGATTAAGATATTAATAAACTTAATGCATGGTAGAAATCGGGCTGCATTTGTTGTAATTGGCGGACTAGCACGTTTTCATTAAATGGTCGGAAGGGGGGATGTTTTAAGATTTACTGGGTATTTGTTTCTTTCTAAGGTCTAAAAATAACATTTAATGTTTAAATGGAGCATTATTTTTTTGTAAATTTACTTTTTACCTAAATATATTCATTTTTAATGTTATCATTAAACTTTAGAAGGTAACACATAACTCTTAAAACATCCCCCCTTCTTGCTATCAGTCATTTTGAGGAAATATAGACATCACATCCGGTGAAGAAAGAAGGATTTTTTCCCGGCCTTTTAGTACAAAACTTATGATTTACAGTTTCAAAACCTAGCTTGGAAACCCAAAATATTGTTAAAATATTATCAAAAATGGAAAATTTTGAATTCTGTTAAGAGGGCTAAAAAGCAACTTCCGGTAATGGAAAGAAATTCATTCAACCATTAAATAACTGATTTGGCAAAGTAAAAGATGTCCTAACTTTTTTGGTACATAGTGATAACCTGTATATAATTTTCACCCTAAAATTAAGGTGTTGTGTTTCTACTGACGGTGAGTATATTAAACAGTTACTGAAAAGATATAATTACATGTATTTCACATTTATAGCAATTTGATTTTCATTCTACATGGTTTTAAACTGTATTGAAAACTATGTGATATAAACATTAATAATGTTTAGAATCATTAATGAATCAAAAGTCTGTCTCTGGCTTTTTGCTGTGTGTGTTATACTGTATACATTGCATTGCACATTATAATACCTAAATTCTAATAAACCGATAAATATATTTTTTAACTAGTAAAAGGATTCAAGATATCAATGTAAACTACTCACATTTTAGAGTTAATGTAATTTTCTTGGCTAAGAACTTCAACAGATATATTCTTGAGGGTCATATCTGAAAAAAGTGAAAAGATTAGCCATCTGTATTTAATTTGTGCAAATGAAATCATCAACTTTGATATATTAGGTATTCAAGATATCCCATCTTCAAAATACTGATATTTACATGCAGTTTAAAAACAAATCTAAAGAATACATACCAGTCTGAGTCCAAGTTATTTTGAGAACTTCTTTCACATGACTCAAGTCTGATCTCAAAACAGTGTGGGACAGAATGACAGAGAACCCAGAGCTGTATCTCCTGAGGGTGTTTGATCGGACGTCCAGTAAATGATACTTCCCGTATTGTGTGGATGATATAGCAGTCTGCAGCTCAGTTGTATTCACATCCTCTGAGGTTCGGGAGTCTATGTATGCAGTGCCACTCTTTGCAAAAACAACCAATTTCCAAAGCATTTTCCTGTTGATATACATGTCAATTTAAAGTAAAAGTAAAATGAGGAAGGAAAAGGCATACACTTGGTGTACATTTTCTTAACATGTAAGGACTCAATCAGTTCATATAACATCACAGTTAATAAAAATCATACTTTAAATTATATGCAAAATATACTGTAATTATTTTAAAATTTTAATTTTTTAAATTTACTTTCTAAAATCGTTGATATATTTTCTTATCATGAAACTTTTAATTAAAGGTCAGAAAATATTGTCTTTCAATGCTATTATACATGTAAATGTATAGCATACAAACCCATAAGGCTTTTGAATGAATCTCTCCTGAAGTGAAATAGTGACTGTAGCATTTGTAAAACCTGCAAGTTAAAAATAAGCATTGACAGTTACATTTAGGAATTCCTTTCTTCTTCTTCTATGTATAGAATGTATGGGTTATATACATGTTTATCAAACTGCAATACAAATTAAAGCCACACACAACGAAATGTCAAGGTACCTCTTGACGTCCAATATTGTTCCAATGCCATGCCAAAACTGGAAATATCAGTAGTTTTCACCTCTGAGGAAACAAACAGAGCAAAGTGGATCCTATAGTCCACCAAACTGGCTGGACGTCCAACAACCTGATACTGGGCACCCTTGGGGTTTGTAAAAGTCAGATTCTTCTGGAGTTCTGCCGCAGACAGAGATGGGACTTCCATGGGATCCACTAGGAGGTTTGTTCTCTCTATAGTGTAATCCACTTGCCACACTGCAGTACTATAAAATACATTACCTTTTCTTATAAGTATCTTTGAAAAAAAAACAGACAGCCACAAAGAGTAACATGATATTTTATTTAAATAACTTGAGTGTTTTCACCTCTTTGCAATATCCACATATCTTGAGTTCCTGAAGATTTTAACTGATATTTCTTTGTCCTTAAATGTTTCTGCAAATAAATAATGTGTACATGAATGAAAAAACATTTTGTATAGAAAAGTTATTTTGCAAATGCTGTATGTAATGCATATTAAGAGCTGAAAATGTAATTTCCAATCCTTTTGTTTTTCAAATATACTGTAGATTGGCAAATATTCACAATGGTTTTAATTTCACTATGTTTGCGATTTATCATTTTTCTGTGAAATTAAAGCTATCATGAATGCTTTCATTACTTTTCAAAGATGTTTAAAAGCTTTTAAGAAACTTAAATTAATTTCTTGCAGCGTGAAATTAAAACAATCGCGATCAGTATTCTTTGAGAAATTGTGAAATTTAACTCCATGGAATTAAAATGACTTACAGTATTCAATTATAATCTTGACTTTCATGTATATAACAATAACCAAAATACACATCTCTAGTTACTCCACTATTAGTGTGTTTTACTGTACAAGTTAACATGAAAAATCCCTCATAACATGAAATCTTAATGGTAGATATCCCTATTCTAAATGTCTTGTATTTTTTTCAAATAGAAAATCCCTGAATAATCAACTATACCTGGTTGAATTCGTATCCAAGCTGCTTTAAGTGATGCCTGAAATTTTTCTTTATGACCATATCCAATCTCTGTTGTCATGTGGAAAGAAAACAACATCCTTGACCTTGTTACAGTTTCCTTGATGGCCTTGACAGTGTATGGTTGACCTTTGACATTGGTGACATTGATGAGAACCTCAGACAATTCCTGTACTTTCAGGGACCTGTGAGTCATGGATTCTATCACTGTACCATTACTTCTTATAAAATAGTTCAACTTCCAAAAGGATACCCTGTTTAAAAGCAAGATAAATATTTAGAAGAGAATTCCTGTAAACTTGAAGAAGCTATCGAAGAAGCGCCATTTTGCAGTTTCTGGAAAATACAAACCCTTTACTATCCAGGACTTCCTCTTGGTGTTGATCTGTGATCTCATCTATAGCCAGACAGTTACAACTTTTATATTCTAGAAATAAACAGTAGATGCATAAAAGTACATGAGAAACCAATAACCTATAAAATTGATTTATGTCATTGTGCTCTGTTGTGTTTTGACAGGTGATATCTCTATATGTATTAGCTATAACATAACTATAGAAAGCAGAAAAAATTAAAGCTTTACAATTTGCCATAATTGTATTTGAGTTATTCTCAAGCACCTTCATTGGATTTTTTCAATGTTGTAAGTATAGACTCCTGTATACTGAGATAATGAGTCCTTGCCACTTTAGAAGTGAAGTAGAGGGAGAAGGCATTCCTGTAGCTGTGTAGGAGGTCACTCTCCTTAAGGATCCTGAGCTTCTGGCCGCGGACCGTGGTGAAGTTGGCCAGCTGAACTGAGAGACGGTGATGGTCAATACTGACCAGGGATGAAGCTGGTACGTACTGACCACCTACTCTTATAAAGTAGAGGATCCTCCAAGCTCTCCTGTGTAAAACAGAGATAGTTTGTGAATAATTAGCTTTTATTAATAAAAACTATATGAATGAATTCAAGTAGATTGGTTTAGATGGTAACTTACTCATTCTGTTTTGTAAAATATTCCTCTTGTCCTGCAATCTCTACTGAAATGCTGCTCTTGAGGTCCGATTCTGCAAATTAATCAGATATCTATTCTGAAAACAAATTAATTTCAGATACACACATCTATAACTGTTGAAAACATACAAGTACAAAGAAAAATGGTAAGGACTTCAAACAAATTCTTTCATGATTTCAATAGTATTCAAGATACATGTACTAATGTTCAAAATACTAAAGTTTAACTGGATTTAAAAGCAGAGTTCAGATATTATCTTCAGATGAGAATAAAATTGTCTTAATTGACACATCTGTTCAACTTTAATTTAACAGCACAATTGAAAATTCAACCACTACAACATACCTGTCACATTGTTCTGCAATAGTCCAGCAATTGTGTTTTGCAGTCTTGCCCTCCCCTTGATGTCCAGCTTGGTATTGAGAACTATAGATGTGGACATGCTCCTAGACAGGTACTTGGTGGTATCCAGGTCTGTGTGGCACCTGTACACACCTCGGGGTCCCACCACAGGTGACAGGTGGGAGGCATTGATGTTGTCCGTCACACGAGAGTCAACCACTGTGTCAGAAACATTGTGCTTCAGGAAGTACACTAACTTCCAAGTTGAAGCACTGAAAAAAAAAATAATAATTTCTAATAAAAAAAAATTTTATGCCAAGAAAGAACATTCTAATTTTTTTTAAATGATTATTTATTATTGTAAATAAAATGCATTGAAATTTGAATATAGAAGTACCCTGTGGTTTTGTGAATAAGTTCCTCTTGTTTCACAATGTGAACTGATACTGCACCAAGACCTGAAATGGTTTTTACAAATCTTAGGAAAATGTAGAAAAGGTTAAAACTAAAAAGACAGAAAATCACATCCTGTAAAGGCATAGGTAACAACAATCATAGATTACAATATTTCAAACCATCCGGGTAAGACATACACTACATCTGAGGCATGTTCGGTAGTGTTTATCCCTAGAAGCATCTTTCAAGCAAGTTTGGTCAAAGTAGACTATTGTTACTTTGGAATTAACCTGTTCCTAAAACTTTCATTTCATCTGGAAATACACTGACTAAATGGAGCTTATAACTGATAAGGTATGGAGCTGCCTCAAAAATTTAATCTGTTCAAACATCCAGAAAACGTGGGTCAAATCCAGCATATTCTAAGCAAGTGTGATAGTGTCAACCCCTAGAATTTACTTGGATATGACCTCCTCCAAAAGCTTAAATCTAGTGCCTCAATTCGAAAATATAGTCTTATCCTGCATCTGAATTGTATCCATAAAAGCATTATAGAGCATGTAGTTACTTTGGAACAAATGTAGGTCAAATCCAGTATCCAAAGCAAGTATGGAAGTGTCTATTCCTAAATGCATCATCCATGCAAGTTTGGTTCAGATAGGGATTATAGTTACTTGGAAATAGATTGGTTCAGATAGGGATTATAGTTACTTGGAAATAGACTTGCCCATTATAAATTAAAGAGGATGCAAATGTTGATGTCTTCATTGAAGTGAGCTAAAAAATACTGTTCATGAACAGAATACCAGGTATCTATCTCAATAAGACATTTATATGCTTCACCTCTCTTTGCCCAAGCCTTCTGCAAACTTATTTTGAAATCTTGTTCCTTTTCTCTTGCCATCTTTGTCGTCAGGTACAGAGGGAAGTGCATTTGGTAATCCAGGAAGTTGTTGGTGGACCTGACCAGCTGATACTTCCTTCCTGTTACAGAGATGAGGCTCCCCACCGCTGTCTGTAAATGTGTGAAGTCCAGACGAGGGACCTCGGCCCGCACCAGGTGGGAACTGTTTAAAGTCAGTGTGTAGTCCCACTTCCAGACCACTTTTCTAAAAAATTCAGATTGTTTTCAATCATGACCAAGCTTATTGTAGACTTAAATATTAAAAGTTATTATTTTTATGACAATATTTTACTAGTATGTGGCTATGTTTTCAGTCAGGTGTAAATTTAGGATGGCTAATGAAAAAATATATTTTACTAATTTTCTATAAAAATTGATAAACCTGAGACACAAATATAATATATTTTACAGGTTAGAGATATATTTAACACAATTTCATAAGTCAAAGTCACTCATAAAAAAAATTATTCAATTTTTAGTTTCATTATTCCCCTTTTTTTGGAAGGTAAAATGTGACATTGCATAGGGTCTTATATTAAACGGTTGTATGAGCCTATTAAATCTTACTGTACAGACACAGTTCTCTTGCTAATTTTACTAGCGATGTTTCTTCAATAAAAATCAGTTTTTTTAGTTGCCATGGAAACTGTCTTTAATTAATAAAAGTTAAAATTAAAATTGCGTGTCGGACGAACTCTTGTCTGTCCAATTTACACTGGCCAAAAATGATTGAATTGACAGATGTTGCATGCGTGTTTAAAGCTTCTTGCCGCTTTTCAGCTGTAGATATGCACTTTCTTGCATGATAAAATTCATTTCTATCCAGATAACATTGTTTTTCTGTGAAATATGTTAAATCAATTAAATCTTCTCCTTTGTCTGTCCTATGTTACGGGCGAAAATTGTAAACTTAAACACCGATTTTTTCAATCAACGGACCTCTCTGGGGCCCCTTTTACGACATTCATGTCTTGAGATGGAAGAAAACGAGTGTATCACGTGTTTACCGCAAACCAGTCTGTTTACAAGATGGACGGAGGCAAGGAAAAATAGTTGTCCGTCTCACTAAAGTATGTAAGTTACGGGCGAATGTGTGTTCGTCCGAATGTTCGTCCGAATGTGATATTTTATGAAATTTAGATGCCAAAATTAATTAACATCACACATATTCTTGTGAATTATCATGCTACATTACCGTAATTGTTATTATAGATTGAAATAACTTCATAATTTCATCAAAATATAAAGTAAAGCAATGATTTTTCAATCTGGACACAATGATTTCCATTCGGACGTAACAAGGACAGACACTTTATAGATATCTATGTTATTAATATGGTAATTATATTGAATTCTTAATGTTTAATGTCCAGCAAACTTGAGTGAATTTTTTTTAATGAGCTCGATCAATGAAAGTCAATTACAGATTACTTCTAATTAATTCAAATGAAATAGATTTAATATCTTAATTTCTTTTTTTTTAACAGTATTTACCAAAGAGACAGTTGAAGATCTTGAGAGGAACTTCATAGCAGCTATATATAGATTATTTCAATAATTACCTGAATAAATATCTTTTAGATGGAGATAGATCATTTTGTGTGTTTTTTTCTCAGTTATTATGTGTGATAAAAAATACAAAAGAGATTAAAATTCCCTAAATCCTCAGTGTCCGTCCAGGTTTTTCCAACATCTGTCTTCTGTTTGTCCAACATAAAAAATGACATTTCAAAGTTTCATACTTGTGTTATTTATCAATTTTTCCCAATTTTCTTTGCATTTTTTGTCTTTGGTCATCATATATTTCAAATTCCAAAGCTGAAAATACTTTTCCTTGAACATCTAGAGCTGAAAAATAGACTTTTTGTCTGTCCCTGTTTGTCCAACACTTTGTCACTTTTTCCATATTTTAATGAGTTTAAATGATTTTGAAATATGAGAAAAGGTTTAAACATAATTGCTTACCTAGAATATAGTACAAGAAATGTAGATTTGCAATTTATATTGAAATTGATGGAGGATACAACCGATTTTGTCTGTCCTGTTCGTCCAACATGTGATGTGGACAGCCCAATTATTTTTCATGAATAAAAGCATTTTTCCTTAAAAAGTTATCTTTTTAATGATGCAGTTAGCAAGTGTAAATATATATTTTATCCCATGTCAAAATTTAATTTGATATTTCAAGAAAAAAATTCTCCAGTATTTGTCACAGATATTCTACACTGTACTGAAAACGTAGCCATATGTGTGGCAAGCAAGTTAAAAGTTTTTGAATTTCTTCATATTTCCTTACCCATTATTATCTATGAACTTACCCATTATTATCTATGTACTGTTTCTGTCTTACAAAAGATACCTTCACTTCTTCAGAACCTTTGAATGTAAACGTATGAAAATTATAAATAATACAGATCTTTTCTATTCATTCCTATGTTAAACTTTGATCACCAAGGGTTGCCAAACCTTACTAACAGGGGTCATGATTTGAACAAATTTTAATCTACACTATGTAAAAAGCTTTCAACAACGATGGTAATACATGTACAACAGACAATAGTAAATTTTGCTCAGAAAAGCTCATTTGAACCTTTGGTGAACTAAAAAGGTGTTATATAGACTTTAATCTACACTGCAAACTTGAATTGTACATCAAACTTACTGTTGTATTGTTTTTTCCATGCCAGTGCTATTTTTTCCTCCATCATTTTAATGTCTTCCACTGACACAAAAGAGCTGACATACAAAGAAGACACCCGTTGGGCCATAATGAACTCTGTAGATTCTGTATTTTTGACGACCCTGTATTTGACCCTATTTGGCCCTGTGACATTGAGGTTAGAGGTCAGCAGGGAAGTATTTAAGCTGGCAGTGCTCCTGGAATCTACCTCAGATCCTCCAACTTTAATGGTGTAACTCAACTCCCAGGAAGACGACTTTCTAATGAATCAATTTTATAATTTAAAAAAATCAAATCAAAATCAATACATTTAAGGTAAAAATGACATGCTTAAGGTGGATTGACTCTCTGACAAGAGAGACAACTCCTATACATACTCAGTTGTCGTGTTCTTGCTGTTTGAAAATGTTTCTTGTTGATTTCCAAAAGTCAAGTTCACTAAAGATGAGTTAATACCTAGAAGTGAAATTAAAATCAAATTAAAACCAGAAGAGACTGTAGCTCTATTTAATGGTTTTGAACTGATGAAAGCATCAGAAAAAATAATTGCACTTAAACTTGTTTAAACATTTCCTTTTGAGTATTACATCTATAAAATTATGCATCTTTATGTTCTCTACTTGTGTATCCAATATTTATTGCTGGCAATGAAATATAAGATTAAAATTTGTGGTACTAAATTTATCAAAATGTTCACAGACAGACAGATAATAAATAGATGATGCATGATCACCTATAATTTTGAACAGGAAAGTTTGATTTCTAGTTTCTAATCCTCCTTCGTTATTAATCTATAAAATAATTCTACCCCACCTATATATTCCTACCTGGATGCTGCTGCACAAAAGTGGCAATAATGGCCTGTTTAATGTCGTCCTTGGCTGTCTCAGACACTTTGTGGTTGAAATGGACAGAGAAAATCTTGTTTTTGTCAGTAATTTCATCAGTATGTACCAGACCAAACTTCTGATTCCAGGATGTCGTAGCATTAAAGGTTGTGTTAAAAGTTGTGGAATCTATGGCAGGTGGGACAACAATGCTATCATTGACTTTCAGAATGAAAGGCAAATGCCAAGCTGATGATCTATAAGAAAACAAAAACAAAATTGTTGTTAGCTATCATGACAAAAACAAACCACCATTAGGACAATGTTCTACAGTCATGCTTTTAAAAGAAATGTAAGACAACCTACCCATCTTTTTTCTTGTACTCCCTTGTTGTATTTGTCATCTCTACAGAAACTGTAGACCCTAAAACAAAGCAACTTCATTATTAGCTGAATATCACAAATTTAATATTTCAATTTTTCATGCGACAGAAACTTTCACATCATTTAATTAGGGAAATATTGATACTGTATACAGGGTTATTTTCGCCCCATTTTATTTTCGCCCTTTCACACTTGCAGACAATTTTGCCCCGTTTTAAATTTGCCCTGTCAAAGTTTTGTTTAAGTACTTATTCTGTATTATATGAATTTGCCCCATTTTAAATTCGCCAAAATGAGGCTAGGGCGAAAATAAAACGGGGGCAAAAATTTCCCTGTATACAGTAATCTTTTTAACTAGAACTGTCCAAACGGGACAAAATACCCCCCACTGGTTTTTTTCAGAAGTAAGTTTTTCCATAATAAAGATATGTATAACACATGAATTATGAAATTTTTCTTCCAGTGACCTTGAAATTCCCTAAATGACCTTGGGTCAAGATCATGACATACCCTTGGGTCATGGGCAATCTTTGTGTGAAATGAGAACCTACCAATTTTATCAATAAGAAAGATATGGCCCGGACATGAATTATGAACTTTTTCTTCCAGTGACCTTGAACTTCCCCAAATGACCTTGGGTCAAGGTCATGCCAAACCCTTGGGTCAAGGGCAATCCTTGTGTAGGATGAGAACCTACCAAGTTTATCCATAAAAAAAATGTAGACCAGACCTGAATTGTAAACTTTTTCTTCCAGTGACCTTGAACTTCCCCAAATGAACTTGGGTCAAGGTCATGACACACCCTTGGGTCAAGGGCAATATTTGTGTGAATTGAGAACCTACCAAATTTATCCATAAGAAAGATATGGACCGGACACAAATTATGAAAATTTTCTTCCAGTGACCTTGAACTTCCATAAATGACCTTGTGTCATGGTCAGGACACACCCTTAGGTCATGGGCAATCTTTGCGTGAAATGAGAACCTACCAAGTTTATCCATAAGAAAGATATGGACCGGACACAAATTATGAAATTTTTCTTCCAGTGACCTTGAACTTCCTCAAGTGACCTCGGGTAAAGATCATGACACACCCTTGGGTCATGGGCAATCTTTGCATGAAATGAGAACCTACCAAGTTTATCCATAAAAAAGATGTAGACAGGACACGAATTATGAAATTTTTATTCCAGTGACCTTGAACTTCCCCGAATGACCTTGTGTCAAGGTCATGACACACCCTTAGGTCATGGGCAATCTTTGTGTGAAATGAAAACCTACCAAGTTTATCCATTAGAAAGATATGGACCGGACACGAATTATGAATTTTTTCTTCCAGTGACCTTAAACTTCCCCAAATGACCTTGGGTCAAGGTCATGACACACCCTTAGGTCATGGGCAATCTTTGTGTGGAGTAGTAGATTCTAATGTCCCTCCGTAAGAAAGATATGGACCGGACACGTTTGCACAGACAGATGGACAGACAGACAGACGGACAGCTAGACAGACGGATGGACAGACAGACGGACAAGGTGATTCCTATATACCCCCCAAACTTCGTTTGCGGGGGGTATAATTACTAACCTTTGAAATACTTCTGGTAATACCCCTGTAACCATGCCCCAAATCTTCCATAAAGTGAAGGAGGAACCCAAGTCTGGAGAAACAGGCCTCCTGATTGGCTGTAACTGATATATGTGTGATTTCTGGACCAGGACCATGTGAAATCTAGTTTGTGTCCATCAGATGAAGTGAAGTGGTATTTATTGTTAAAGTTAATCCAATTAATAGGAAAGTATGATGAGGGCTTCTGATATTTTCCATTCTTTACAATGTGGTAATAAACAACCCAAGATGACTTCCTGTATATTGGAAAGAAATCAGATTTAAACATCAAAGAGACAATCTTTATAACAGAATACTTTAAAAAAAACATTTGAAAACTTACTTTTCTTTTGATTTTTTTTTAAACTCACCCATGACTGTCAATGACTTCTTCTTGGTGAGCAATAGAAACATTACATCCACAAGCTAGAAAGCAATTATACACTTTTGTTTAAAGGAATTCATTTATCCATCCCTAGCAGAAAGAGTTCTTCTTTGTTGCCAAAAAAAAAAAAAATCAAAAATTCTTGCAATTTAGTTTAATTTAACACCAAATACCTGGATGCCTGTCGGTATACTCCTTTGTCAGAGCATTTTCCACTTTCCCGTACTCCGACACAGACAGCTTGTGATTGAGATAGAACATCAACATGTACCGATAGTAATAGAGGTCAATATCTGTTCTGACCTTGACCTTGGTGGAGGTCACTGAAGTCCAGTCTATCAGGGTGGTATTCAATGTTGGCCACAAATGAGCATCCATAACTACCTTATTCTTGTACAAAATGAAGTATGTCAGTCTCCATATAGATTTTCTGCACAAAAAGAAAAAATATCATTTATTCTCAGATTTACTGTGCATGACTTTGATAAGCAATTTGTACAAATTTTAGTTTCAGTTTGTAGAATAACTTACCCACTTCCAGCATAGTAACTTTTCTGTGGCAAAACATGGATGGAGATGCAGTTACATGTCTTTAAATCTACAAAGCAGAAAATACTTTCAATATATAACACAATTACAGTTTACAATTAAGAAGATTGATCCTCTTTAAGTTTGATTTACAAGTTTTGATAACCTATTTTTTTTTTCTTTAACAATGTGAAACACAGTGATAAATTAGAAATAAAATCAAATTACATCCTTTTGCACAGAATTTAACAAAAACTAAATGCAATTTTTTTTTTTGAGAAGATATAATTTAATTTTTCCTTACCAGATTTTACATTCATTTTGTACCAGGCCTGCAGTAATGCTGATTCGATCTTATGGATTGCCTCATTAGTCACTGTCATGTGTTCCTCCGTCCACAAGTGGAATGACCTTGAGAATCTCCACTGTCCAATGACAGAGTTCTCCTCTAGCTTGGTCTGATTGTAAATATTGGTCAAGGAGATATTGAACTTATGTATGTCAATGGAGTAGTACCGAGAGCTGATGAGGTGAGAGCCGTCTCGGACAAAATATACCAACCGCCAGTACCATTTTCTATGGTTAAAATATTTTGGATAACCAATTAATAACTCTTTAGCATTGGTAAATATAGAGAGAGACAAACAGATGGTTTATTCCCACTTAGCCAAAATTCTGAAATTCTTATTCCCATCTAGCCAAAATTGTTATTTTCACACCTGAGTGGTCACCTGTGTATAGTCTGTTTTATGCTTATTACCTGTAATTATTACCTGTGGTGTATAAGTTCAATAACAAAATACATATAAATATTTGTTTTATTACATATTAATTAATCAGGTTCTACATAATAATTTGAAAAAAAAAATTAATTCACCCTTTAACACAGAGATAAATAATAATTGACAATATTTAATAGTTATTGAATATATTTGAATTATTACTTGACTAATTTTTTACAATAAAAAGATAGGGAGGTTGAAAAGAAAAAAAAGTTGATTTAATATTTGAATTAAATATAGGAATTACATATAGCAAAAAAAAATATATTGATGTTTGAAATAAAGAAACAGAGGTTGTGATTGTATACGTATATGCATATTTACTTATTGTAATATCTTTCACACGTGCACTACATTAGAACTAACCTTCTATAATTTTTATAAGTCTGATAAGAATTGGCTTATATTATAGATAAAAAGTTATAAGGATAGTCGACACAAATTTTCTTGGTGTAACATTTTGTTAAATTATTAAAATATTATCGGATTTATTATTTTTTTATATGCACAAAATGAAAGTATTGTAAAAGAACTAGGATTTTTAGAAAAAATGTTCATGTAAATTTATTTAGAAAAAAAAAACTTGTCAATAATCTCTAAACTTTTGGCATACATCTATGCATCGAAGAAGAATTTGTCTCTCAAAGCAAACATATTATAAAAAAAATTTTGAATGATAAATAGGTGATTTATTAAAAATATAATCTTGCTTTAACATATTTTTCAAATAAAACAGTCTAATGTAGTCATATTGGTAATTATTTGTATTAATTTTATTTGAAATGATCAGCTTATGCAGTACATTAAAACATAATCAAATTAAAGACTAAGATAAACAAAAAATGATATAGAAGTTTAAATAAAATACAGGCCATTTACCATGTACAAATTAAAAAAACATTAATAAAGATCTATCTTATTTTTATTTATTCAGTAAAAATTTAATGAATTTGATTTAAAAATGGCTTTAATCAGTTCAAATTTAAAAAAAATCTAAAATATAATTTAAAATAATAATAATGTCATTTAACATTCATTAATTTATCAGCATTTTATGTATACTGTGGTTAACTTTTAAAAAACAGATTTTAGGTCACCTGTAATTAATTTCTTTTGTTCTCTCCCTCCCCTTACCTCTACACCATTCCCACCTAGCCAAAACCAGTCACCTGTGTCAATTTCAGAATTTTGGCTAAGTGGGAAGACAAACAGATACCTTCAAGATTAAAGGCTTTTGCATAAGTAAAGGTACAGCATTTAAACTGTCTTGACATAGAAAACTAGTCTTTTTCTAACTAGAACATCTAAAGCCTACCTTGTGATATCACTCCAATACTGCTCTTGTTCTTTAATCAAGATGGTGACATTCTGTCCCGCATTACATTCTAAATAAACATGGACAAAAATGTTAACTACATCTGATATAAGCTGAGATTCTACAATCTTAATTCAGTAAAGGTTTTAAGAAAACTTTCAATATTGAAATCTCTCCAACCACAATCAAAAAAGTTATACTCACTAAATACACTACACCAGTGAGGTTGAAGCACTTTTCTGAATTGTAACCATTCTTGTTCTGACACTTCAGAGGAAAAGGTCAAGGAGAAATGGCTATTATAAGATAACCAGGTGGATGACCTTTGACCTGTATATAAATGATATGCTTGACCAGTGATGCCCTTGATTTCCTCTGACTGGAACAACTGATGTGTGATAGGGGTCACAAACTGGCTCTGGACTTCTCCATGGTTTGACATCAAATAAAATACCAATTTCCAGAGTATAGAGCTGTTCAAATGATAATAAATGTTACTATGATTTTAAAAATGATAATATGAAATCCAACAGCAAAAATTTCTGATGCTTTCACTTTTTTTACTCCTTCAATTTACCTGTTGGTTGTAAACACCTTTTCCTGGTAGTCAATATACAAATCTAAATTCTTATATTTCTTGGATTCTGAAATTTAAGATAAAATGTTCAAATATATATAGTTTTATTGTTTTGAGATTAAATTCTTATTTTCTCTTACAAAATCCATATTATGTATACTAAGTGATCTGTAATATTTAATTCTGATAATTACCTGTCCATTTCCTTTTAATAATATTCAGAAGCTGCACCTTCAAACTACCCTCCAAATCAAGATAGTTGATCTTGGTGGTGAAATACAGTGTAAACTGGTTCCTTGTGTTCAGTAATCCCTCCTTCAGTACATACACTGGGTACTTGGAGGCTAGAGAGACCATGGTTAGGTTGTACACCAGCGTCATCTGACTGTACAGTACAGAAATGGGGGACACTAGCTCCTCATCCACAGAGAGGGCATACCATAACATAGTCACAGCTTCTCTGAAAGAAAGCAAGGATCCAGTTTAAAGTGTTTTGAAAAATTGAAAACTGAATGGAGAACAAAAACGCTCTTAACATTTAATTGCCAAACCAAAAAAGTCATCATTAAATTACAATGGTGATAATTGAAATGAGCATTAAGAGTTCAATATTATTGTGTTTGATATAATATTACATTGCTGTAAATGCATGGTACACATGTATATTACCAGAACTCCATGCATTGATTTTATCCCCATGTTTAAGGCATATTTAGAGATAAGTCAAATATAAATAAATTCTACAGTTTCTTGACTATCAATTTGTGCTCTTATTCTACATATAATGTTTGAAATGCATGTTTATCCAGTTTTCATAACATAATGGATTATAAAGTTTAATGTCCTTTAAAAAAAGTGTGGCCCAAAGAGGTGGAAACAATTTGTGCTTTAATTTCTACAATTTTTTTACTCACCTCTTCAAATATACAGAGAAGGTGCTATATCCCAGAATCTGGACATGTAGTCTTTTTCCTGCAAAAAAAAAATTTTTTTTTTTTGACATTTGCATTATAACACAAAGTATTGAATTTAACAATTACTTCATAAGCATTTTTTTGTTATCCACAAGAAAATAAATTTAAAAACTGAGTACCCTTTTAATACCTGAAAATGTAGTAGAATTCCAAGCATTCTGTAGGGACTCTGTAATGTCTTTCCATTGATCAAGCTTGATGTAGCCCTCAAAATAGATGGAGAATAGATCAGTCCTGAGGTAGAGCTGATTGAGGGCGTATTTAGTGTACACCTCGTAAGGCTGACCTCCTGACCTGGAGAAGGCCAGATGTGACTGGTTCTTCCTCCAGCTCTGTAACCATGACATCGAGGGGGTGGAGATCAAACGAGCATCAATGGCAAGGTCACCATGTGATACAAAACAAACTATGTTGGATACAATGTCACTAGAAAAAATGAATAATTAAAGTTTTACTTTTATGTACAAAGCCTTGAAGAACTTATACACAAAGTTATTTTCTGTTATGACATGGAAGAAATATGTGAAAATAAAATTTCAAAATTACAAAACAACAGTAAAACCCATTTGTTTTACATAAGAATAATTTCCATCTCTCTGATTGGCTGGATCCAACTATGAAAATTACTTTGCTAAATCTGTAATTTGTTATAATTGTATTAGGATTTTGTTGGAAAGCTATTTTATGACATGTGAACAAAACATAGGAATATATATTTCCAATATAACTGAACAACTTTTTATCCATGAATTCTACAATATCATTATATATTTCATGTAAAATTGATTAAAAAGCAACATTTCTAAACACATTTTAATTCTGTTTCTCTCTTTTACTGTATAATCTTATTTGATAAACACTATTAACTCGTACATATTTAAGTTCTACAGCTAGAAGAAATATTTGCATGTCAACAAAATATGCTTTAACAGAGTTACACAATAGACAAAACAATTAAAATTTTGTTCTACAGCTATAGTAGAAATATTGGTTTATCAACAAAATGCTTTAACAGGGTTACACAATGGACAATACAATTAAAATCTTGGCCATGATACATCAATATGTGTCACCCCCCCCCCCCACACCCAAAAAAATAAAACCAGAACAGAAAGACTTACCCTGATGTGCTGATATATTCCTCAATTAAATTACTGGGAGTTATGCTAGCAAGAGATGCTGAAAATAAAAATTAAATTACAAAGATAAATGAAAGAGCAAAAATGTTAAGAGAATAATTATTAAATTCTTAACAAAGTTTCAGGAAGAAATGTTATTTTAGGACTGAGATCCCTAATTGTTCAACACTGAACCTGAAATTAATATGTTACTTATAAGTTCATAAATACATAATTCTGCTAATATAGTGCTTAAATTAACAACTATACTTGGATTAATTTAAAAATAATTTTATGGCATCTCTGATCAACATCATATTCTGATAAAAAAAAATCACAAAACAAGTTTGCATTTCGTTTTTATTATTCACTACATTTCCTATTCTGTTAACTTACCATTATAGTCTAGCCAGGCTTGTTTTATGAGTGCTGTAAACTGGTTCCCGTCCCTGGGATCTACTTCGCCTTCTATGAGGAGGTTATAACCATAGCGATAACGATACTGTCTAGATCCATTATACAACTTATACTGATTGCCATTTATATCTGTTAGATTTTCCATCCTCATATATTGTAAATAATTTAGGTTTCCATCTTGATTTGGATACGAAAATATCTGTCGAACTTGAAAGTAGTAAACTAAAGCTGTTAAAGGCTCTCTGAAAAGATAAAAAAAAGTTTTATCATTACATGTTACATATACATACACTAGTTAATTTGATAAAATTTAAGAGAAGAAATCTATTTTCTTGATTAGCACATTTTAGCACATTTTTAAATAAAGTGTTTGAAAACCATACATTAAGACAATTAATCTATTAAGAGGACTCCAATTTTTCAATTGTACATCAAAAAAAATATTCTTTTAATGACTGAAAAAAAAATGAAACTAACCCATTTTCTCCAACATATTTTTCTATTCTGTGAATGACAACATTACATATTGGACAGTTATAACCTGAAAAAGAGATAAAAAATAAGTAAAAAATAATATCTAATACAGTAACAAATGTAACACTAGAAAACTACAACTACAACCAGCTCTTAAAATATAAAAATCTCTACCTGGCTGAGCCTTATACCATGCATTCTGGATTGCTTCCACAAACTTGGGTATATCACTTTGTACCACAGCACCTTCTATAAATAGATCATAATGGTGCCTGTACCACAACAGCTCATGTTCATCCAAACTTCCTGTGTAGAATTTGGCTTTGATTTTAGTGTGATTCTGTACAGCTATCATGTATGGATCCTTATTTTTGGGTGGTGTAATTACTTTTCCCATATAAAGGACAAAAATATACAGCCTGGTGACCTCTGACCTGTAAATATTTTATTAGAAAAAGTCAGTTCTTGCTTCCATCATATTGGAAATATTATAATGGATGTTCCAAAATGTTATGAAAAAATTGTACAAAGTTTAAGGCTTACCCATTATAATCCATGTACTCATCTGTGCTCTTAATTGATATGTCATAAAGTTTACAGGCTGCTGCTGATTTATCTTGAAAAAAAAATCATTCTACATGAGCATTCAAAGCAATGATGTATATAGCCATAATAAATGGAACAAAAGGATTTTAGTGAACTTGTACTATACAAAAACGCTGATATCCATTAAAGCAAATTCTAACAAGAGATGTTTGTGATACACATATCCCCCCTTCCCCTGGACATACACTATGTCCATTGTCCAAGGGAAATAACTCTGTCAAAAGTTGCTTGACCTTACCTAACACAGAACCTGAACTAATTCTTTTAATTTTTAGGATAAATCTGTATACCAAATTTAATTTGATATGTGCAACCTCTGTAAAGAAAATGAACAGAAACTGATAACAGACCAACAGACAGACCAACTGATTGACAGACAGCAGCAAAGCAATAGTCCCTCCCTTCTTTGCAGGAACATAAAAATACAGTAACTGCTTAAAAAATCATCAGTTTGTTGCAATGAGCCTGAAATCTTAACTCATTTGAAACATGAGCATCCTCTCAACTTTTAATTACAACATTATGCTGTTAGTTATGTATGCTCTATATATGTTACAAAAGTGTTAAAGATTGAAATACTTACTACAATTCTTTTGAGTTTTATAGACATCCAAGATAACTTTCTCCCACATAGCTATTTCCATATCAGATGGACCTGGTCCATAAACATCAAAGTAGAAACTGTCTGATACTGGGAATATTAACTCAGCTGGGACAACATCATACAATCTGACATTGGAGGTGTAGCGTTTTCCTATCTGTGCCTGTATTTCTTTCTTACTGGGCGGCTGGATGCTGGATGACACACCTGATATTGATATATTATATCGAAGGAAAGTCAGCAATTCTCCTCGGTGTTTCCTGTAAAAGACTCTATAAAGTTAGCATTGCAAAGTTTTAATTGTTTACAGAGCAATTAATAAAATAAAGGTAAAAGTAATTACTGGTATTAAAAAGTAAACAAAAAATATTCTCATATATACCTCTCTTCATAAATTAATTTAGGTGTAGATATTCCATAAGGAAAATCCATATTACTCTTGTGTAGTTCCTGTATACCTGTAAAATTTTAAAAATATGAACATAAAAATTACCTTTTACATAAGGACATTTACAAAATCATTGTTTGTTGAACAACATTTAGTGATAATTACTAGCATGTCTATGTTATTGGAACATACAACCTCGATAATCAAGAAAATGTATTGAGATATACATGAAAGACATATGCTAAATAATATCTTCCCAAGACCTAGAAGAGCTTAACAATCAATGAAATTTAGCCTCCTAAGATGAAATTGATTCCAGATACTTGTTTCTCTCTTATGAAATGCAGTTAAAAACAAAACAATTAAGACAAGACCTTTATTTGCCTCCAAATATGCATCCATAATAGCATATAACAGGGTAATGTCCACCTCATTATCCAGAAGATTGATAAAGAAGCTGTCCTCAAAAACCTGTACAACAGGAGTGGATCCTGGCACTTTGTGTGTGGTGGTGGATCTAGCGGTGGACCGTGTGGTGCTGGGACTTGGTGCCACCGTAGTGGTGGTGGTGGACTGTGTGGTGGGTTTAGTAGTGACAGTGGTGGCTTTCACTGTAGTAGTCTCGGTGGTTGAGGCCACTGTTGTCGTGGTTGATGTTTCTGCAGTGGTCTCCAGTGTTGTAGGTTGTTTAGTGGTTGTTACTTCTGTTGTTGTTTTGGGCTGTTTGGTTGATGTTTCTGTGGTTGTCTCTGGTTGTGTTGTAGTTTGTGGTCTGCTTGTTGTTGGTTTTGATGTTGTCTTTGTTGTCATCTCTTCTGTTGTGGGGTTTGGAGTAGTTTGTTTTTGAGTTGTTAGCTCTTTTGTTGTCAATGGAGTTGTTGATGAACTTGCTGTTGAAGTAGTGGGTTTTGTCTGACTAGTTGTTGAGGATCCACAATAGGAACTTGCTGACAACAAAAGTATTTATGGTAAAGAGTGTGTCAAAAAAGAATTTGCTCTACAAATAAACATTTGAGGATACTTCCATATCAATATGACTGATTATGGATTTACTATCTTAAGAAGATTTTAAAAGAATTTCCTATCTAAACCAAAAAAAAACAAAAAATCTGTGAGCCAATGCTCACTAGTAATACCCCCGCTTTGTTGTAAATAAGCACTATTATGTTAATATACACAAGTTCAATTACTGGCAGATGCACAGAAAAATATGAAGTTGACATCAGATTCAAATCAAAATTAATCCCACCATATGGCATGCCTAAACAAAGAGTGTAATAAAATTTCAAGCATCCGCTATGAATAGCTAATGAGAAATCTGCGATGAAGATTTGTTATGTATGAAATGGACAGATGCACAGACAAACAGGAAGTTGATATGCGATTTGAACAAAAATGTATCCCAACATATGGCATACCTTAGAGAAGATTGTGTTAAAATTTCAAGCATCTACAATGAGTAGTTGCAGAGAAAACTGCGACGAAAATTTGTTATGTATGAAACGGACAGATGCACAGACAAACAGGAAGTTGACATTGGATGTTCATATTAAGATAAGCCTGATCATGGCTTCACAGTTCTTCAATAGATGATTATTTTAAGGATTTCTCCAATGTATTCCTATGGAAAACTTGGACCTCATTGTAGCCCCATCCTACCCCCCGAAGGTCAGGATTACACTATTTGAGGGTACTTCCATATCAATATGACTGAGCATGGCTTTACAGACACAGAAGATTTTAAAAGATTTTCCTATTCATACCCATAAAAAAACTTTGTTTGCCCATAGAAGATCAAATTAATTTTTACTTTTTCTTACTTGGGATAATTACCTCCCCTCAGAACAGGGTAAGGCCCTGCATTTAAATAAACCTTATTCCATTTATCCAAGAATACTCTGTGCCAAGTTTGGTTGAAATTGGGCCAGTTGTTCTGGAGAAGAAGATGAAAATGTAAAAAGTTAACCAAGATGCCAAGTTAACAGCAACAACAGACAAATTTTGATAAAAAGAAAATCTTGCTTTAGCTCAGGTGAACTAACAAGAGGTCCAGGGGCCACATCGCTCACCTGAGCAATCGGCTAGGAAAAAGCACACATCAGATCATTACTGAAAGTTTACCGAGTTTAGGGGTCATGGTTTGAACAAACTAGAATCTACACTACCTGTGGATGATTCCATATAAATATCACTAAGCATGGCTTTGAAGTACTTGAAAAGAGGATCTTAAAAGGTTTCCCTATATATTCCTATGAAAAACTTTGATCGGCCATTTTGGCCCCACCCTACCCCCGGGAGTCATAATTGGAACAAATTTGAATCTACACTGCCTGAGGATGATTCCACATGAGTTTCATCTTTCCTGGCCCAGTGGTTCTTGAGAAGGATTTTTAAAGATTTTTCCTATATATTCCTATGTAAAACTTTGATCGTCCATTTTGGCCCCCATCCTACCCCCAGGGGTCATGATTTGAACAAACTTGAATCTACACTACCTGAGGATGATTCCACACGAGTTTCATCTTTCCTGGCCCAGTGGTTCTTGAAAAGAAGATTTTTTTAAAATGCCATTAATTTTTCTCTAATTCATAATTATCTCCCCTTGGAAAAGGGCGTGGCCCTTCATTTGAACAAACTTGAATCCCCTTTATCCAAGGATACTTTGTAGCAAGTTTGATTGAAATTGGTCCAGTGTTTCTTGAGAAGAAGATGAAATTATGAAAAGTTTACAACAACGACGACGACAACAGACAATGGACAAATTTTGATCAGAAAAGCTCACTTGAGCCTTCAGCTCAGGTGAGCTAAGAAAGTGGAAAAACAAGTTTGTTCTTATACAGAATCTGATACTTCCAAATAATATCAGTCTAAATTGACAAAACAATTGACGTAACATGTACTATACTCTTAACATTCAAAATGTAGAAAACCAGTAGAAATGAAGCAATTTTTGTGACGTCAGCTAGAAATGCCTCATAAAACTGTCTTCTGGAAATCATTTTTCTTGCAAGAACTTAATTCATTTTCATGTAATATCGGTAACATTAAAGAGAGTGTATTTGCCCAAATTTCATACCTACATATATATTAGAATTCCTAAAGATTACATAGAGCAAAAAGCATAATTCATGAAAATTTAGTTTCGTTAATAAAGAGTAAATAATATTACCTCACAAAAATAAGGTGTCATGAGAATTTAGTCATCTACAGTATTTCAGGAATTAAAGCGGCACAGTGAGTCAAAATCATATCTTAATTTTAAGATATCTGTAGCATACAGAGAAAGACTTACGAAAATTATGAGTATATAGCGAAGATATGACAATTAAACTGCAAGAATTGACTGCACAATATAAGTGCTGGAAAAACAAAGGTTGTATCTACCGTTTCGTTGTTTCGTATATGTCAAGGTCACGCTACTCTTATTGTTAGCTCAAACTTGTAAACATCATTCAACTGGAGCATGCAAAGGTGAGAAATATGTTCTAACAACTTTTTAAAAAGATTACATCAAATTTTTTGGTCTACTTATATTCATTCGTGGATACCTGAGACCATGGTAACTATGGAAACTTATTCAACACTTTTCTGCGCACGCGTATAATAGGGAGGAAGAAGTACCAGGGTATTTTGCAATATTTTCGTTCTGGGGCAGACAGAAATTATTTTTACTTTTATTTTTCCCCATAAAAATTTAATTTTTAGGTACTGAAACCTGTAATTTTCTGAAACCTAATACTTTAAGGAATTGAACAAAATTTACAGAGGTCATGCGAAAATTCTACATTTGTCAATTTTCCCCTTTGTGCGTCACTGTGCCACTTTAAATAAGGTAAATCTCTTCTCAAAGAAATATATGTATTACCGTAATAAATTAATGTAAAATTGTAAATTCATTACCATGTCATCTGTGTGTTAGTGTTCTCCATTATCTTAATTCAAAAACAAAATATGTACCTTTATCACCACGTGCACAACAGCAATAGAATTCGTTCTTCTTTTGACCATATCTTACACAGGTCCCAGATCCGCACTGATTGGAATAGGCTGAAATTGAGTATCACCACATTAAAAACAAATGGCTAGATGGTGTAGAGTAAGTAGCTAGGTGTCTATATACATAAAAGCCAGTCTGTGTTTATGCTAATGAGACTCAGACAAGGGCTCCAGTGCCAAAAAGGTAAAAAAAAAATCCACAAGGCACTTTTCTTTTTTTTTGTGCATATTAATACAATTGAACAAATCAAAACAGATTTAAATTTTCACGATAAAGATTTAATTAGCAGGGGTGTAGTTAGGGTACTTTTGATGTGGACTCACGAGTAGGCAGGAGGTTTAGGGGACACCATAAGGCCCCAAATGGGTCTAGGGGCAAAGCCCCCAGAAGCTACTGAATTTTTCAATGATTTGGATGGCATATTCGCCCCTCCTGATGGCATTTTTCTTACACTTTACAAGTTTGTTACATAGCCAAATTCGAGGCCTGATCGGTTTTCATACAAAATTTGGACAAACACTCAAAAATGACAAAGGATCTGTCCAAAATTGATGTAGGATGAACCCATTAATACAAGTTAAGACTTTTGAAGAGACAAAACATGTATTGTAAAATAGTCAGGTAGAGTGGTAGAATGTAATGGACTTTGAAAAAAGACTAAAAAAAAAAGCAATATTCAATAGTAAACCAAAGTCTTGGAAAGTTTAATGATTCCAGAGAGGTATATATACTATCGTATTTTCCTTTAAAACTGATTCTGCTTATTTTCATTCGTTCTAAATTATATCTAAATGTTTTTTTAAAAATTATTTTTGTATTGTTTTATGGACTTTAATACTGAATATTGTTCGTTATCTCCACATCCTTCTTATACAAACATATGCCTGGCTATGTGCCTGATTAGACTTATAATTGCAACATTTATACAGTCCATTTGTGTAATATGACCAAAAATGTAGAAGAAGTGGGGCCTTGAAAGAATTTCATAGAATTTTTTTAGTGAGCATGAAAACACCATTAGTTAAATGGAAACTGATATAAAAAACTATGTATCGTAAGTCTACTTGTGTACCATATATTAAAGATATTAAACCAAAACTGTTGGAGGAGGAGTATTTTGAAAAATTGATTACTAACGGTTTGATAAACAGACAACTAGACATATGGATGGACAATGAACACCTTACCAAAGCATAAGCTCCTCTGGTCTCTGACCTGGAGTAGAGCTAAAAACTTTAAAAGAGGACAAAATATTATTTGGTATACTCACATTTTTGTAAGTTTAAAACTACAGTACATGTTTTATCTCCATTAAATGTCAATTCTCCTGCCATTGAGGACAAATTTGTTGGTGGCTGTAGACCATGGAGTTTTACATCAGTTATATTCTTTTGATTCGATTTGCCTTGTATGAGCAGTGTTCTATAACCATAGCTCCCACTGGCTGTGACAGTGATTCCATCAAAAGTCAACACAGCTGAGGTTAATATTTCATCTTTATTTCTTTGAGTAACATTCATCTGAATTTTCTGAGACAATCCACCAGAGCAAATAAAAGAGCCTTCCCACAAGCTTGGTAGTAACTCTGTAGAATCTGTGAATTAGAAAATATAATGAATGACGTACCTGGTGCAACTTTTTGCCTTGACATTTGATAATCCACAGCCTGAATCACACTTACAAAAATGGAAGTAGTTGTCAGTAAAATTGACGAACTCAACACCAACTACTTTGGTTAAAGAATCAAAAACTGCAAGCCAAAGTTCATGAAAAAATAGAGAGAAGCATGTCCTACCCTTATAAAATCCACAGTCTCCTTCACCCCCAGAGATCTGTACGTCACAGTCTTTCCCTGTCCATCCCGGATTACAGATCTTCTGTCCTTGGACTCCACATTTATAATGGCCATTACAGCCATAATCCTCAGCAACACAGTTAATGTCGCAGTCT